GATGAAGGACCATTATTTCTTAGACTGTGTTTTATTATCTGGCATTTTTCAAATTTTTTTACTGTTGTTAGACTATTTCTTATTTATTGTATTTTAGAGATCTTTTTTAGATCTCCTATTTTTCTGTTTCTTCTGTTTACTTGCTTAGTTTTCTTTTTGGGTTTTAGAGGGAATCCCCTAATTTCAGGTGTGTTTCTTCCCCTATTTTATTGTTTGGTTGTTCAGCACTACTCCAACTCCCCCTTCTAGTTGTGAGTTAGGGGATGTCTATCCCAGCCCAGCATCCCTCCTCTCTGCCTTCTTCTCACTCTCCCACGTGGGTCCAGTATCTTTGGGAGGAAGTGACAGCCTGTCGTTTACTCTTATGCTGCTGATAAGATGGGTACATGGTTGCGCTGGTAAAGGGCCACATTGCCCAACCAGGCCCATGCTGACAAATTCCCACCAGGTGGCCCTAAGTGCATGAACCACCTGATGGGCCCCCTTAGTGTGCGGGCCGCTTCCCACAGCCTGGTGTATATATACAAGAGTGGAAGGCTGGGCTGGATGGAGTTGCTGGTGCTTGGCCATGCTTCAAGAAGTGACATTTGCATCCCGGGCCGGTCTACCCTAAGGACGACTGCCTGTGTCGCCTTAGGGTAGCACTGACCCTGAGTGTATAGCAATTCCTGCATCTCTATAATCAATCATAGGAGGCTGACTGACTACAAAAGACATAAGAAGGTGAGCGCTTTGATAATAACTTTTCACACTACAAATACCCTTAACATTGCTTTCAATTTAACCCCTCCCAAAATCAAAAAATACCCTTCCTTAGTCACAAATTTAAAGGGATACTATAGGCATCCAGGGATAGGTAACCTTTGGCACTCAATATGTTAGGGTCCACATCTCCCTTGGTGCTTTGTCAGCATTATGTAAGAGCATTCTGGGAGATGTAATCCATAACATCTGGAGTGTCAAATCTTGCCTACCCCTAGTATGGATCATGGCCTTGTAGTTGCACTGCTCATTTCTCTGCCATTTAGGAGTTAAATCACTTTGTTTCTGTCCTTCTGCCCTAGCCTCGCCTCCCCTCCCCTGGCTATGACTGACACAGCCTGCATGAAAAATATTGTTTCATTTTCAATCAGATGTTAGCTAACTTTAGAAGTGACCGTCTCCTGCTCTGGGAATTGAACTTTAATCACACACAGAGTGCTCCTGAAGGGTCTAGAAGGCTATTAACAGAGCAAAAGGGGGGGCGGAGTCAAACCACTTAAGCGGACAGTCGCATGACCTGAGCTCTGGGCTACACCAGCGATTTTTACCCACTACCAATGGTATATCCCTACCCAATTGCACCTCAGAGGGACCCCCAGCCTCACCCGGGCCTCATGGGGTGAAAAAACAAAAAACAGAAGCCTGACAAGCCCCAATTGGGCATGAACATCGGGGAGTTATGGCGGCAGGCCCAAGGCACTCCTGGACCCAAGATGGTGTCCCTCCATGGTGGCTGCTCAGACTTCTCTGACGGGACGTCAGATGAAGCAGAGAGGGAGTACTTACCTACACCAACTATGCCCCCGCAGACACAACCACCTCTCTAGCAACCTGCAACAGTTCCCACACTGGTGACTATGGAAGCCATCAGCAAGCTTATGGCAGACCACCACCAGAAAATCTCAGCCCATGTCCGGGATGACCTGCAAGGTATAACCAGCCAGCTAGGGGTTGTGGAAGGCACATTCAGCACCCACTCCAGCCAAATCAAAGAGTTACAACATGCGGTTAAAGAACTGCAACAGTAGAATCTTCTTCCTGAACGCAAGTTTGCCACGCATGAGGCGGTAGAAAAACTTGAAAATCAGGGGGGTAGCTGAGTGCATCCAAGAGGCTGAACTGCCACCAGGCATCTCCTTGAAGCACTACTGACCTCAAAAACAGCTAAAGCGGTTCAACTAGACAGAATACTCTGCGTACCAAGACCAGCCAAGGCGCCACCTTCTGCTCCTGGAAAACTGGTGATACAGTTCCAGAGCCTTAAAGACAAAACCGCAGTATTACCCAAAGGTCAACCAACATACCTCTTTGAGGAGATGGACCTGTAATTTAATGCAGATCTCTCCGGGGAAACATTGGCGTGGAGAAGGTCACTGCGGACGTTTACCTCCCTACTGCGAACGCAACAAATCCGATATCATTGGGACCTAGCTAACACACTGTTCGTCACCTGAGGGGAAGCAACGGACGCAATTCACATCACCAGACTCACTTGGCCCAGCCATACTTACAGCTAAATCCACGCGTTCCCACGGCTGGAACCTTGCACACACTGCAGAATTTGTGCTTCGACAGAGACCGGCGGATGCATACGCCGCTGTCATGACCTTAATCATGCAGGTCCACGCAGACTCTTTGCCAGGACATTCCCCCACTGTTCAATATATATACAAAGAAATTAGTTAGAGAGCTCATGCTCTCAGTAGAGCACCGTTAACCTGAACCAACACTACTGACATGTAGGTCCAAACCCCTTCCTAGACCTACCCGACTATCCCCTGCACAGTATAGTTGGTTTATCTTATCGCTTATCCAGACCTCTGGCCTCCTCTGACTTTGGCTTACCTTATCAGATCATTAATTAACTGGGTAAATAAGCACTGCCTCGCCCTGGGAACTTTGTCAGTTCATTGACTCTGGTTCCTGTATTTGTGTTCTTGATACAGTGTTTTCCAGATGGTTCCTGGCCTTGGTTTATCATATCGTTTATCCAAACCTCTGGCATCCTCTGACTTTGGCTTACCTTTGTTTATCCTGACCTCTGGCATCCTCTGACTTGCCTGTACTGCAACTTGGAGCTATATCCTGCACAGCCCCCGTGCACAGACTCACAGCTCAGGTGGCTTCTTATCTGGTCACCTTGGTCTGTATTTATTTGCAAGGGTGAGCGTATAACTCTGCACGTCGGACTCCACATCAGATGAGATTCTGAAATAATGAACTGACCATAGAGTCCACAGAGATATACAAGCTGCTCACCTCCCTTGTGCAGCAATTGTCCAGCCTGTTCCAGACAGTTCTGGAGATGCAGAAGGATGTATTGTCATTTAAAGGAACGGTACGCCCAACTTTGAACCTGCATATCCAGAACCCTTTGTGATTATGCCTGGCAGGTTCGACGATTCCCAATCCTCATTCACAATGTTGGATTGTGAGATCCTGTTTGCTCTTAAGCCCAGGACCTATTACAGCGACTTTGTCAAGGTCCGTACCGCTGTTAATCTGCTTTCCAGATGGCTGAAGGCATGGGCATACAAGAAGCTACAGGAGAAAAGTGCTGTCTTGGATGACTGGGAGTCATTTATAACTGCGATAACTCTCAGTGCCTTACCTCCAAGAAAGCTACTCCCAAGCCTGCCCTAGGTTCCTGCAGATCTCGGGTACCTAGAGAAAAAGATAATTCAATCCTGTTAGAGTACAAGGCCACCTCCAGCAACCGACCTTGTCACCCTAAATGTACCCAAGTAAACCGTGAAACTCCAATGGACAGGGTTGCCTCCTCCGAACCAGGTTGCCTCCTGAGGAAAAAGACTGTAGGAGAGTCCATGGCCTATGTTTTTATTGTGGAAAAAGAGGACATATCATCTTTCTCTGCCCAACTTGTCCACTGAGGCCAAAAGTTCTTCTATTGAGTACCTTACGGACCCGTCTTGTCATCCCGGCAGCACATCCTGGAAACTGCCAAGGTTGCTGCCAGCTCTGTCCCCATTCTGTAATGCTAAAAGGTACCCAGACTACGATATTCGATGTTACCAGTATCCCTCAAGAACCCGCAACCAGTACCCCTGAGGAATCTCCAACTCCTGCTCCAGAAACGTCCGTACCTCTTCCTGAAGACATTCCTATTAAAGCGAGCACCATAACCAATCCTTGCCTTGCCATGAAAGTTCTGTCACCTGACTGCACGTATGCCTCTAATGGCACAGTTGTACTTAAGCAGGATCTCGAAGTATTCGAAAAAGCATTGCAAGCTGCGAGAAGTACTAAAGCAAAGGCTACTGTAGGTGCTGTGTTTCACATTAATCTGGAAGAAGGCCGTATGCATGGCATGGATGCTTTTGGAAGAACGTACCTCCTGCCAGAAAATGTATTCGACCTCTCAGATGAAGAGGGTAATCCTGACATGGAAGGAAATGGTGAGCAACCAGTTCACGCCCAGAGGGCGTTCTTAAAGGGGGGGTCCTGTCATGATTCTCACCGTGACATCCAGACAGACCCAGAAGTGCACAACAGGGGATTGGAAGTCTGGACTCTTTCTGCCTTACTCCTGCTATCTTGCCTCTGGGCCATACTTCAGTTCTTGTTTCTGCCTAATGTTTATCATCACATTGTCTCCAGCACTGGGGGGACCCATGGCTGCTCCTGTCTATCCAGCCCACCTGAAAAGCAGCAGAAAATGCTAGCAGAATACTTGGTTGTATAGGGAGAGGTGTTAGCAGTAGAAAGAGGAAGTGCTCATGCCATTGTACAGAACACTGGTGAGACCTCACTTGGAGTATTGTACGCAGTACTGGAGACCGTATCTCAAGAAGGATATTGAAAGTTTAGAGAGAGTTCAGAGAAGGGCTACTAAACTGGTTCATGGATTGCAGGATAAAACTTACAAGGAAAGGTTAAAGGATCTTAACATGTTGTCATGGGGTAACACTTCTGGGTTCGGCACTCCGCTGGGCGGAGCCGGACTCCGCCCCTTCTGACACAGCTCTGACGGTATTTAGGGAGACTGGGAGAGAGGGTGCTTGGTGATTGTGTGTGAGCTGCCACCGTGAGCTCCACAGGCTCAGCTACTGGGAGCTACTTCCGCCAGACTAACCTCTCCACAGGCTCTGGCAATGTGGGTCCTACTTCCGAATATGCACGCCGGCTCCTGGGACACGCCGGCTCTACAAACTCTGAAGTTGTCCTAGCCTTCTGGACTAAGACAAGTATGCTTCATGTCATAGAGGATTACTGGAGAACAGAAACTCACTTACTTTACAAGTGAACCGTACCTCTGAACTATTGGAGGACTACTCAGAATAACCTTAAGTATATCTTTCAGCTATGTGTCTACAATATCATTTGATAATGAACTAATGCTTGCTTACTCAAATCTTCATTGCTTCAAGCTACTAATTATATGGAGGACAACTCCCATCATGCTTATTCACAATGAACTGTTTGTTGCTTTGCAAATATACTCAGTGCTACAAGCTACTAATTATATGGAGGACAACTCCCATCATGCTTATTAACTATGAACTGTTCCTGCTTTACAAATATTCTCAGCTACTTGCTTAATGTTTGTATTGAAGATCATTCTCATGAACTTAAAGAATGTTACTTAATGTATCTCTGAAGAAATACTTAATAATGAACTTTGTGTTGTTGATTACTTGCACTTCTTATTATTGGATTATTGCCTAAATGCAATTCATTTAAGTTTAACAATTTATTAAAACTTTGTTTGAATCAAGTTACCAGCGATTCCTCTTTTTTCTTAAAGCTACAGTATTGATACTTTAAAGTTTCTCCGTATCTTCACTAATGTAATTAGTTTACTGAGAGGGTAGTGGATGCATGGAATAGCCTTCCAGCTGAAGTGGTAGAGGTTAACACAGTAAAGAAGTTTAAGCATACATGGGATAGGCATAAGGCTATCCTAACTATAAGATAAGGCCAGGGACTAATGAAAGTATTTAGAAAATTGGGCAGACTAGATAGGCCGAATAGTTCTTATCTGCCGTCCCATTATATGAAGCAGATCATTAATAACTGGGTAAATAAACACTGCCTCGCCCTGGGAACTTTTGTTCCTGTATTTGTGTTCTTGATCCAGTGTTTTCCAAACAGCTCCTGACCTTGGTTTATCTTATCGTGCATCCTCTGACTTTGGCTTACCCTCGTTTTATCCAGACCTCCGGCATCATCTGACTTTGGCTTATCCTCGACAATCCTCCTGCTTGTGTCCTTGCTTATACTGCGACTTGGAGCTATATCCTGCATAGACTCATAGCCCATGTGGCTTCTTATCTGGTCACCTTGGTCTGTGTTTATTTGCAAGGGTGATAACTCTGCACGTCTGACTACACATCAGGTAAGATCTGACATGTTTCATCAGTTATGTTATGCTTTTGTTGACTCATTGAACCAGCTTATTACAGCTCATGTGACCTTAATGAAGCATCGACCCCTAAGCCGACATATAAAAATGTGCACCGCTACTCATGCCAGATTGTACTTCTATGTAAAGTGAAGCGCCGACAATTGCTTTTGTGGCAGTGTTAGCCGTTATGTCATGTCTTTACTATGCACGAAAAAAAAAAAAAAAAAAAAAAAAGCAGAAGAAATTATAAATTAAACAGAATGAGCAATAAAAGAAGTTTATAGATTATAATTCTCATTACAGGAAGTGTTTAGGAAGGCTGTGTAAGTCACATGCTGGGAGGTGTGACTAGGGTTGCATAAACAAAGTGATTTAACTTCTAAATGGCAGAGGATTGAGCAGTGAGGCTGCAGGGGCATGTTCTATACACCAAAACTGCTTCATTAAGCTCAAGTTGTTTTGGTTCCTTTAATGTCCCTTGGAAAAAAACAAAACACTGTATGCTTTCAGACCACTTCATCTCGATAAGTGGTGTGGGTGCCATGCCCTCTCCACTTTAATTCTGCAGCTGAAAACATTGCTATTTGTTTTAAGAAGGGCAATGTTCTCATTGCAGGGTTAACCTGCCTGTAATGGTTGTCATACTGGCAGCCCTTAGAGGTTCTTCAGTGGAAAAAGTGGTGTAAAACTCATAGAAACCATCTTATAGGCACAGCACAGTGGTTTGCAGCGCATGCACACTAGCTTCCCAATGCTTTCCTATTAAAAAATATATTGGATTGGCTGAGAGGTGGTGCTGCACCCAGGGGACCAGCGTAGTGAGGGGGAAAAAAGGTAAGAAAACTCACCTTTTTAACCCTGGCAGTGAGAGCCTGGTCACTTAAATGATGAATAGGGCACTATAGTATTAGGAATTCTCATTCTGGAAACTACAGCCCTGTGAGATTAACATCTGTGTTTGTAAAATTATTTGAAGGACTGTTAAGGGATAATATTCAAGAATTCCTTTTAAAAAACATCATTAGCAGTGATCAACATGGTTTTATGAAAGGCAGGTCATGCCAGAGAGTAGTTGTAAATGGAAATATTTCATATTGGACAAACGTGGTTAAGTGGAGTGCCTAAGGGTTCTGTCCTGTGTCCACTTATCTTTAATTTGTTCATAAATGATCTTTAAGTGGTAAGTGTAACGAAATCCCTTATTGAACAGACCATACGAACCAGCCTGTTCGGTTATTTGGATGGGTACAGAGTGATTTCGTGCAAATAGCGAGGAAAAACGAATGAACTACCAAACCACCCAACCTCCCACTGAGGTCGTGTGGCGCCTATTAAGCACCCAGACTTTGCGGTTAACCACAGTCTAATTGGGGAATAGCTGGTGGTCCGCGTTCGTCTACCGAACACGTGGCAATCGCCATTTTGGATTGTCGACCGCTCAGCGGTAAATGGTGACGATAACCTGGAACTAATTTTGGCTACTTATTTTGCTGATCACCGCTGCTACCTCTTCAGGTCCTCGTTCATACGGTGGAAAACCCACGAATGCTGGAGATACCACACCATTCGTGCGTTGGATGTATGCGAAAGTGACCGACCCCAGATAGCTACAGTATGGAACTTGTCGGATACAAACACGCGAACGACCGGTGAAAACAAAACTTCAGTCGACGTTTTTGAGAACTGTGTTCGTGGGATCTGAGCGCTATTCGCCTAGAATATGCACTCAAATCCAAGCTATCTGGGGATATGTGGGACTTAAAGTTTATGTTCGGTAAAATGTGAGTTATAGATTTTTATGCTGTTTTACTAAAATAAGAAAAGCCATGTTTCTTTCTACCTGGAGATAATTAAGGCTCTCTTACTCCTTTAAGTTAATTATCTCCAGGATGGAAAAGAGGGAGTGATTTATGTAAAAGGGGAGTGCTTATGTTATAGCCACTGTGATTGGCTACTGTATTTCTTTTGCCCCAGTTTTCAGTCTGGTCCCTTAGGGGAGTGTCCACCAGGTGGGAGACCTGCATAAATACCGGGCAGGTAGCCCACAGTAAATCAGATCGTTTTACCCCTTCATGAAGTCTCGACTCATGTTTGGGGGGATTGGGAGTTATAATCACTTTGTTTTTTGGGAAAAGCGGCAAGGATCATCGCTGCACGAATAGAAGGATCCTTTACAGTAAGTAAATACCATGTGTTGGTGTTTATAGATGACACAAAATTAGGTAAGGTAATACAGTGGAATATTATATAACATGTCTACAGAGGGATTTGGATAAAGTGGGGGACTGGTCAGGCAAGTGATAGATGAGATTCAGTACGTATAAATGCAAAGTCATGTATTTCGGAATGAGTAAAAATAATAATGGGGATAAAAAAACATTACTTATGAGGAAAGGCTGAAAAAACGGCATTTGTTTTCTTTAGAATATATAGATATATCGCTATACAAATACATTCAGAGTCAGTACAAACCGCAATGTGCTAACCTGTTCATAAGCGTATACAACAGAAAAGAGGCCACCCATTGAGATTGGGGGGGGGAGGGGGAAGCCATTTCCACTTATAGCTGAGGATCTTTACAGTAAGATTAAATAAGATGTTGAATCATCTGTCTAAAGAGTTTGTATTATCAGATATATAGATATATATATATATATATATATATTTTAAAGATTTTTGTTTTGCAACAGACTATTCAAGGTTATAATTATATGTATGTGAACAGGTTGTTGATACAAGGAGAAATCTGATTGCCATTATGGAGTCAATGAGGAAGGTTTTCCCTTTTTTTGTTGCATAATCTGAAATTGCTGCAAACTGAATACCTGAGTATATACCCTCTGTCAGCAAGGGCCACTGTTATTTATTGTATACCGTAACTTTTTAAAAATGACATATTAGGAATTTTAATTACGACTAATAATTAAATCTATTTTGAGTTAGGTTTCTTTAGGTGCACTCGTCGGGAAGAAACTATTAAATGTAAAACTGAGAAATATATTTATATTTTTAATTTAAAAAATATATGTATATTTTATTCATATATAATATTGTGTAATGTATTCATATAGGGTAAGCCCAATATCTCCTTCAAAAATTAGACATAATATTTATGGATGTATTTAAACAGAAATGGTGAAATTATGTTGTATAGGAAAAGTGCAAAAAGGCCTTAATCACAATTGCATCACATCTCGAAAGAGCTTTGGTCCCTTACGGGTTAAAGTGGTGATGTTTCTCTAAATATATGTATCCATAGGTTTTTGGTGTTGAACAGGACATGGCAGCCATTTTAGTAATTAGTGACTCTTCAGTAAGCATTACCAAGAACCATGGAAACAAGTCCACACACCAACAAGCTCAGACTTGAATTATAACGTTTACTTTGAAAATATGAAATACATTCTTTGCCTATGATTTGAGACTGCTTAAAGGAACATTATAACTTTGGGAATACAAACCAGTATTCCAAACACTCTAGTGTCACTCTGCAATTAACTATAGGTCCACATAAAGTGTTAAAACCCATTTTCTCGCTTTCCTCCTCTCCTCCTCCGACATCACACCAATCCAGAAACCAGAGGCACATGCACAGCAACTGCTACGTACACATTAGGCCTTCCTCATAGGAAAATATTGAATTAATGCTTTCCTATGGTTATTTAGAAGACGCTGGGTATCCTCATGCAATTCATGAGGACACCCAGTGTCGTTTTACAGAGTTAAACTCTAGTAAGCATGGTAAAAAGTCTGGAAGACAGCCAGTAAAGACTGTCTTCACCCTACAATGTAAACATTGCCGTTTCTCTGAAACTGAGATGAAGTGGTCTGGGTACCTGTAGTGTCCCTTTAATTGTGATAGGAGTACCACATGCTTTGATTAGCTGGTAGATAATCTAAATAATCATATTATCACATAGAGATTATTTAATACAAATATAAATAAAAGTAATAGATTACAACATATACAACTATAGCAAATAGTAACCAATAATGTATGCTACATGTAAACTATAACATTTCTTCTCCCGATTCCAAGAATAGTGTAAAGTATTGGCTAAACCAATTACTGAAACATACAATTTTTCACAATCTAATACGTATGCCTTCCTTATTTCTGAAAGTTGTTCATTATTGATGTCTGGTAATCTTGCATCATTGTCAGGTTTCCAGTGGAGCGCAAACCTGTATTGCATGGGAAACTTGAATTACTCAATAGGATATGAAACCAAGAAGTTAGTTGAAGGTTAAAAAACAAAACAAAACAAAAAAACTCTTGGCTGGCTGTGCGTGCTGTGATTTGTAGTTCAACAGTCGAAGGGAAAAACATAAAACACAAACGCACACAACTCTCAGAGTAGCCTATCCTTATTGAATTGCTTGTTCTAAGACTCTTACCGAGATTCTTTTAAATTAATGATGGGATCAAAACTTTAAATAGGAACACATGAAAAATAGAATCATGATCTAATGCTTCCTGATGTATACATTTTCCATAAGACCTAAACAAGGTTCCTGTTTTGATATACATGCTATATTTTCAGTATTCTATTTTACTTCACTCACTGTAAAGCTATGTGAAATGTGAGAGCATTATAAATAAATGATATACTCCCTATGATTTATTACATTACTGACCTTTGGCAGGCATTCTGCTTAATAGAAGAACTACATTAAGTGGTGAAAACACTATCCCGAGAGAGCTTTAAAGCTACGCTGTCTTATTTAAATAGGATTCAGAGTTTATTATTTGTGTTTAATATATACTTTGTAATGTCAGCAAGCCATATTTTGAAGGTATGTTATTTTGTTGAGGGATCAGTGAAAATGATGAATAAAAATGCTGCCACATAATTTAAATGTCATTACGGGCTTAGTAAATGACTAGAGAGAGTGGGGTACCGTCACAAAATTCAATGAGAAAATTCTGGAAACTATGTCAATGGGCAAACCATTGAAAATTACCAATAACTGGTATTAATCTGATTTTATATTTTTTTCACATAATATTTTGTTTTCTTTCAAATGTGTATTAAAGATTTAGCAATTGACTTCACAATCCAGTTCAGTCCTGGCCCACCCAGGCACAAACACAGAAGATAAGTAGAAACATTGTTTCTTCACGCACTATGTTCAACGTCAGAAAAGGGCAGAGCTTACATCAATGGTTGTGTTAAACAGCTGTGAACTAAAAATGTGGCTTTCACCCCAGATTACTGCATTAGCCAATCAAACTTTAAGTAGTATTGGTAGCCTGAAAGTTCTGCTCTAACCTGCTACCAGCATATCATTACAAATAGCTAAATTATTTGGGTCTATGCAACACTTTGGGTCGGCACAAGAGACATACCACTATTGAATCAATTCAACTGAGACTACACTCGTCCTTGGCCAAACCAATTTAAATCAGCGATGGGCTACTGTGATAGGCTGAAAAGTTTCAGCTGACACTCTCGGCCAATCACTAGCATTTATCACTGATTGGTCTAATGCAGAGGCTTCAGTCAGAAAAGCAGAGAGGGGCCTAGCTGCCAGCAACAGGGAACCTCCTTCAGCGTTAAACCATTTCAAACAGTTAACTCTGAACGTGGGGAGAGGGGATGTAGATGAATGAGATGAAGTGGTTATAGTGCCTAGAGGGTCCTTTAACCTATTGGATTGTCTCTTCCCAGACCTGTAGCTTGTAGGCTGGTAAAACATAAAACTAACTTTAGTTCTGCTGTAGCTGAAAATCTACCTTGTAGCCACCCCTACTTTAAGCAATAGATTATCTTATTTTAGACCTGTAGCCTCTCATTTCAATGCAATAAACATTCTCACTTTTCTTGCAGCACAGCATTTGGTGTTTTAGTGACCCCAGGGACTGGTTGATTAATATGCACCACAGATATAAAACAATTGATTTTTGCAGCTGCATTGCTAATGTGGCTGCACCTTTTCAAATGGCTTTTCCTTTTGTGCACTTCCACTGCATTTGATTCAGACACGTTTGATAGATAAAACTGTAACATAATATCTTCAGCCATCCAATAGAGCATAAGCAGAATTTTACATTTCCTCAAAGCATTCAAAATCACATTAAAACTACGCAATAGCATAGTTATTAGTAGATTCAGCTAGCAGCGCTACCCGTAAAGGTACATTAGCGTGCTCTTAAAATACAATCGGACTGCCAGAATACCATACGAATGGGATAGAAAATAACAGCCATTCCATGTTTTTTGCTAAGGTATAGCAGGGGAAAATGATATCTCCCCTCTCCATACATACCTCCCAGCTATCTTTATGTGGTCTGTACAACTTAGGCATGCTAAACACTACCCAAGCTGTTACAAACAGAAAACATGTGCACTTTGTAACAGGGTCTTACAAATAACCTATGTAGTGGTTATGGTGCCAGGAGTGGCCTGGCAACCTCCCAGAGTAATTTTTCAAACCATTTAAGAATGGTTTGACAACTCACCTATGTCCCTGCAGGAGATATTTGTCTCCATTGAATAAAGCATTGCCCCATACAGAGTCATGCAGAGCGCAGCTCTGTTTTATATCAGTGGAGCTAACCATATTTTCCTTGCAGGGATTTCCGAAAGCAGGCATTGCAGGTACCCTGAAGTACCCAGGTAAGTTGTCTGAGTGTTCTACGCAGTGTCTTATCTGTTCCTAGAACTGGACTCTTCTAGGCAGTGAATTGAAATGTCCCACCTGGAATTTGCTGAATGCTGAAGTCAGTGCCCCAACTTAGGGGTCACAGCCCTGAGTGCTCCTGTCAAAAAATGGGACTGCTAGTGCCATCACTTTCCACATGCTTTCTTGCTCCTCTTTCAGTCCTTGACATTTGCCCACCCTCTCATGTTCCTTCTTCATGATGTTATGGTCACTGGGTATTGCTATATCCACCACTATTGCAGTCTTCCAGTCCTTGTCTACCACCACGATGTCAGATTGGTTAGCCAGTACTTGCTTGTCTGTCTGGATCTGAAAGTCCCACAGGATCTTAGCTCTTTTATTCTAAACAACTCCTTGTGGTAACTCCCATCTTGACTTAGGCAGGTTCAGCCCATACATATATTATTTTTACCTTCAGAGAGTCAAACAGTTCCTGAAGTACCAGGGCAATTGCAAAGACCAGATCTATGCCATCAACACATATGCCTTACCAGTCACCAGGCACCCTGGAATAATAACCTGGGCAAGAGAAGAGCTGGGCACCATGGATGTCAAGACCCAGAAACTACTCACTATGAATGGAGGATTCCATTTCAAATCCAGCACCCAGTGACCTGATGAGTGTCAAGGCCACAGTCGTGGATGAAATACTATTTTATATATATATATATATATATATATATATATATATATATAATACATTGCTAAACACAAATACACACACCAGTCAAGCCACAAGACATGCTTTTCCCACAGAAATTTCACTTTAACAGTGCTCTCACTACTGCAAGGGACTCTGGGTAGGCATATGCAAATAAGCTCAACAAAGAACTACATTCTTGCCTCAATTCCACTTTATACATGGATTCCTTGTAGGTGTATGCTGTATACAACAGCTTTGAAACACAAATCCGGAAGAGGAGCAAAGCCAGAATCCCTTGCAGTGGTGAGATTTCTTTGGGAAAAGAAAGTCTTATAGCTTGATTGGTGTGTATTTGTGTTTAACAATATATTAACTATCCACTTACTTGAGGTGGAAGGGGTTTTCATCCACACGTTTTTCACCACCACAACTCTTATGATAGATATATATATATTATATATAATATAATATAATCTCTATCTATATCCTTTAAGGCCTGCAAGTTTCCAACACGGATTGAGATCTGGGGAATTTGGAGACCAAGGCAACACCTTGAACTCTTTGTCATGTTCCTCAAACAATTCCTGAACAATGTTTGCAGGGTGCATTATCCTGCTGAAAGAGGTAACTTCCATCAGGAAACACTACTGCCATGAAGGGGTGAATGTGGTCTTCAACAAACTATGATGCACTGTATGTTCTGACACATTTCCATCATGGCCAGTATTAAGTTCTTAAGCAATCTGAGCTACAGTAGCTTTTCTGTGTGTGATAGGACCAGATGGTCTAGCCTTCACTACACATATGCATCAATGCGCCTTGGGCGCCCATGACTCTGACGTTAGTTTAATGGTTGTCCTTCCTTGCACAACTTTTGGTAAGTACTAATCACTGCATATCGTCACAATTTGGCCCTTGTCAAAGTCACTCAGATCTTTTCGGTTGCCCATTTTACCTGCTTCCAACACATGACGTCCCACTCCTTGACAGATGCCATTGTAACAATAATCAATGTTATTCAGTTCACCTGTCAGCGGTTTTAATGTTGTGTGTGTGTGTGTATATATATATATATATATATATATATATATATATATATATATATATATATATATATATTAGAATATGGCCAGGTGCATAGCTGAGAAATATATTTTTTTTTGGGGGGGGGTGGATGGGACAGGGGTGGCGGGGTCAGTCATGGGCATCAGTTCTGTCAGGTAGGACTTCTGTGTCTAGTTGGGCAGTGAAGTCTGCCTTTGTGGTGGATACGATCCAGTGTGTCCAGGTCTCCATGTACTTTTTGGTGGTGTTAGTCGCCCCTGTGTGTAGTTCTTCTATCGCCCTGAGCTCTTCCATTTGGGTGAACCATGTCCGGAGTGGAGGGGTCCTATCCTGTTTCCAGTATTGGGGTATGACCTGTTTGGCCACATTTAGGATTCTAATGGTCATGGACTTCTTATATCGGGATCTGGGTATGGTCGTGTGGTGTAGGAGCATTGCTGCTGGCTCCAGTGGTGGTGGCGCGTCTGAGAATTTCTCTAGGATGTTGTGTATACCCACCCAGTACAGTTTAATTCTGTAGCATTCCCACCAAAGGTGTAGTGTAGTGCCCTTTTCCTCTCCGCACCTCCAACATAGGTCAGAGTATGAGGGGTCGATTACGTGTAGTATATTTGGGGTACGGTACCAGTAGCTCAGCAGTTTGAATGCCGTTTCTTGTGTCTTTGTGAAGGCTGAACAGTGGTGTGTGAGATTTTTCCCACTCTGTCTCGGTAAAAGTCCTCCCTAATGCAGTTTCTCATTTGCCCTTGAAGGCTGGAGTCTCTGTCGGGGTCTCTCTTTGTAGTAGTGAATACAGGAATGAGATGCCGTGGGGTAGTGGGTCTGGGTGCATATAGCACTCTTCGAAGGTAGTCGGGTTCCTAGCATGGGCTCGTCCCCCGTGGAGGGAATCTATATAGTTCGACAGTTGTTTGTATTTAAAGATTTGTAGGAATGTAGGGGGTTCGTTCTCTATCAGGTCAGGTAGCGTCCTCTGACCCGAGTGTGTGTAAATGTGATGCAATCTGGGGATGGGTGTACGGATTATGTCCCTAAAAGCGTTCGGGTCAAGGCGGGGGGGGAAGTCGTGATTGTGTGTTAGGGGTAGCAGAGGTGAAGGGTGTCGGGTCAGTCTGTGTGTCCGGGACGCCCTGTGCCATACTCGTAGGGAATGCTGTGCTAAGGAGGAGCAGCCCCGACCGAGCCCCCCGGAGCACCACGGTAGGACCGAAACTGGTCCCACCTTCTCTGTCTCCTCCACCGCCTTCCACAGTTTTCATTTTAATAACTTGAATCCTCCCCAGCCATGACATATGTGGGTAGGACCATTCTGTTAGTTCTCGTCTAAACAAGTCCAATAAATGGGGTAAAGTTTTCCCTGTATAGGTCCTCCCTCTGTTTGGTCAGCCACGTTCCCATGTAGCGTATTTTATGTTCTGCCCACTGGAAGGGGAAACTTGCGCGTAGGGGGGAGGCCCGACCATTGGGCAGGTCAGCGTTCAAGATGTATGATTTGGAGAAATTAATTTTTAGATTGGAGATGACTCCAAATGTTTTAAAGGCTTGAAGTATGTTGGGGAGGGAGATCTCCGGTCGAGAAACGAAAAAAAGGAGATCGTCTGCATAGGCGGCCACTTTGTGGTGTGTGTCTCCCACTTGTATGCCTGTGATGTCGTGGTGCTGTCTGATTGCTGTCAGGAAGGATTCAAAGGCAAGGACGAAGAACAGCTGTGATAAGGGGCAACCCTAATGGGTGCCATTATGTATGGAGAACTCTTCCGTCAGTGCCCCGTTCACTATCATGTGAGCCGTGGGCCCGTCGTATATGGCCTCGACCCATCTGCGCATGTGGGGTCCGAGTCCCATATGGGCAAGGGTCTGGAACAAGTAATCCCATCCCCCCCTGTCGAAGGCCTTCTCTGCGTCAGTAGACAGCAGAAAAAGGCCCCCAGTGCCTCTTTTCTTGTTGTACATGAGGGCGAGGGCCCTTATGGTGTTATCTCTCGCCTCACGGTTTGCTACGAACCCGACCTGGTCTGGGTGGACCAGCGTGGGGATATGCGGCTGCAGGCGCATGGCCAAGATCTTTGCCATCAATTTGATATCGCAATTGATAAGAGAGATGGGCCTGTAGTTCCCACAGTGCTCTCCGTCCTTGCCCTCTTTTGGGATGATGGTTATGTGCGCTGTCAACGCTTGCCTGGGGAAGTGGTGGCCCTCTCTCACCGCGTTAAATGAAGCCAGCATCGGTTGGTATAGTTTGTCTGCGAAGTGTTTATAATAGCAGAGCGGCAGGCCATCTGGGCCTGGGCTCTTACCGGGTTTCGTGTGCTTTATTGCGAGTGCCAGTTCCTCTAGTGAGATAGGCTCATCTAGTTGGTCTGTGACCTGCTTATCTAATGTGGGTAGTCTGTGTGTCAGCATGTATTGTTGGATGGAGTTTCTTAAGCGCGTAGTCGCTGTTTCTGTGTGTTGTTGGGGGAGTGAATATAGCTCTGAGTAGTAAGCTCTCACTGTTTTCAGTATCTCTGCCGGTAGGCAGCGTACTGAGCCTTGTTTGTCCCTAATTTTGTCGATATAGGTCAGCTGTCGTCGTTTCGCCAGCATTCTAGCTAAGAGTTTGCCGCTTTTGTTTCCATGCAGGGAGAAAAAGGCCTTATGTCTGATCACGTTCCTGTGGTGTTTAGAGTAAAGTAGTGAGGTCAAGTCACGTCATAGTTGTATTAGTTTTGCTTGGTGGGATGGGTGTTGTGTATGTTTATTTAGCGTGTTTAATTTTGGTAAGTCGGGCTTCTCTTTGTTTTTTAAGTTCTGCACCTTTTTGTATGAAGTGTCCCTGTATTACGCTCTTGTGTGCCTCCCACCTAATCGTCGGGGGGGTATCCTCAGGTGTGCTGTCTCCTCCACCGCCTTCCACAGTTTTCATTTTAATAACTTGAATCCTCCCCAGCCATGACATATGTGGGTAGGACCATTCTGTTAGTTCTCGTCTAAACAAGTCCAATAAATGGGGTAAAGTTTTCCCTGTATAGGTCCTCCCTCTGTTTGGTCAGCCACGTTCCCATGTAGCGTATTTTATGTTCTGCCCACTGGAAGGGGAAACTTGCGCGTAGGGGGGAGGCCTGACCATTGGGCAGGTCAGCGTTCAAGATGTATGATTTGGAGAAATTAATTTTTAGATTGGAGATGACTCCAAATGTTTTAAAGGCTTGAAGTATGTTGGGGAGGGAGATCTCCGGTCGAGAAACGAAAAAAAGGAGATCGTCTGCATAGGCGGCCACTTTGTGGTGTGTGTCTCCCACTTGTATGCCTGTGATGTCGTGGTGCTGTCTGATTGCTGTCAGGAAGGATTCAAAGGCAAGGACGAAGAACAGCTGTGATAAGGGGCAACCCTAATGGGTGCCATTATGTATGGAGAACTCTTCCGTCAGTGCCCCGTTCACTATCATGTGAGCCGTGGGCCCGTCGTATATGGCCTCGACCCATCTGCGCATGTGGGGTCCGAGTCCCATATGGGCAAGGGTCTGGAACAAGTAATCCCATCCCCCCCTGTCGAAGGCCTTCTCTGCGTCAGTAGACAGCAGAAAAAGGCCCCCAGTGCCTCTTTTCTTGTTGTACATGAGGGCGAGGGCCCTTATGGTGTTATCTCTCGCCTCACGGTTTGCTACGAACCCGACCTGGTCTGGGTGGACCAGCGTGGGGATATGCGGCTGCAGGCGCATGGCCAAGATCTTTGCCATCAATTTGATATCGCAATTGATAAGAGAGATGGGCCTGTAGTTCCCACAGTGCTCTCCGTCCTTGCCCTCTTTTGGGATGATGGTTATGTGCGCTGTCAACGCTTGCCTGGGGAAGTGGTGGCCCTCTCTCACCGCGTTAAATGAAGCCAGCATCGGTTGGTATAGTTTGTCTGCGAAGTGTTTATAATAGCAGAGCGGCAGGCCGCCTGGGCTCTTACCGGGTTTCGTGTGCTTTATTGCGAGTGCCAGTTCCTCTAGTGAGATAGGCTCATCTAGTTGGTCTGTGACCTGCTTATCTAATGTGGGTAGTCTGTGTGTCAGCATGTATTGTTGGATGGAGTTTCTTAAGCGCGTAGTCGCTGTTTCTGTGTGTTGTTGGGGGAGTGAATATAGCTCTGAGTAGTAAGCTCTCACTGTTTTCAGTATCTCTGCCGGTAGGCAGCGTACTGAGCCTTGTTTGTCCCTAATTTTGTCGATATAGGTCAGCTGTCGTCGTTTCGCCAGCATTCTAGCTAAGAGTTTGCCGCTTTTGTTTCCATGCAGGGAGAAAAAGGCCTTATGTCTGATCACGTTCCTGTGGTGTTTAGAGTAAAGTAGTGAGGTCAAGTCACGTCATAGTTGTATTAGTTTTGCTTGGTGGGATGGGTGTTGTGTATGTTTATTTAGCGTGTTTAATTTTGGTAAGTCGGGCTTCTCTTTGTTTTTTAAGTTCTGCACCTTTTTGTATGAAGTGTCCCTGTATTACGCTCTTGTGTGCCTCCCACCTAATCGTCGGGGGGGTATCCTCAGGTGTGCTGTCTCCTCCACCGCCTTCCACAGTTTTCATTTTAATAACTTGAATCCTCCCCAGCCATGACATATGTGGGTAGGACCATTCTGTTAGTTCTCGTCTAAACAAGTCCAATAAATGGGGTAAAGTTTTCCCTGTATAGGTCCTCCCTCTGTTTGGTCAGCCACGTTCCCATGTAGCGTATTTTATGTTCTGCCCACTGGAAGGGGAAACTTGCGCGTAGGGGGGAGGCCCGACCATTGGGCAGGTCAGCGTTCAAGATGTATGATTTGGAGAAATTAATTTTTAGATTGGAGATGACTCCAAATGTTTTAAAGGCTTGAAGTATGTTGGGGAGGGAGATCTCCGGTCGAGAAACGAAAAAAAGGAGATCGTCTGCATAGGCGGCCACTTTGTGGTGTGTGTCTCCCACTTGTATGCCTGTGATGTCGTGGTGCTGTCTGATTGCTGTCAGGAAGGATTCAAAGGCAAGGACGAAGAACAGCTGTGATAAGGGGCAACCCTAATGGGTGCCATTATGTATGGAGAACTCTTCCGTCAGTGCCCCGTTCACTATCATGTGAGCCGTGGGCCCGTCGTATATGGCCTCGACCCATCTGCGCATGTGGGGTCCGAGTCCCATATGGGCAAGGGTCTGGAACAAGTAATCCCATCCCCCCCTGTCGAAGGCCTTCTCTGCGTCAGTAGACAGCAGAAAAAGGCCCCCAGTGCCTCTTTTCTTGTTGTACATGAGGGCGAGGGCCCTTATGGTGTTATCTCTCGCCTCACGGTTTGCTACGAACCCGACCTGGTCTGGGTGGACCAGCGTGGGGATATGCGGCTGCAGGCGCATGGCCAAGATCTTTGCCATCAATTTGATATCGCAATTGATAAGAGAGATGGGCCTGTAGTTCCCACAGTGCTCTCCGTCCTTGCCCTCTTTTGGGATGATGGTTATGTGCGCTGTCAACGCTTGCCTGGGGAAGTGGTGGCCCTCTCTCACCGCGTTAAATGAAGCCAGCATCGGTTGGTATAGTTTGTCTGCGAAGTGTTTATAATAGCAGAGCGGCAGGCCATCTGGGCCTGGGCTCTTACCGGGTTTCGTGTGCTTTATTGCGAGTGCCAGTTCCTCTAGTGAAATAGGCTCATCTAGTTGGTCTGTGACCTGCTTATCTAATGTGGGTAGTCTGTGTGTCAGCATGTATTGTTGGATGGAGTTTCTTAAGCGCGTAGTCGCTGTTTCTGTGTGTTGTTGGGGGAGTGAATATAGCTCTGAGTAGTAAGCTCTCACTGTTTTCAGTATCTCTGCCGGTAGGCAGCGCACTGAGCCTTGTTTGTCCCTAATTTTGTCGATATAGGTCAGCTGTCGTCGTTTCGCCAGCATTCTAGCTAAGAGTTTGCCGCTTTTGTTTCCATGCAGGGAGAAAAAGGCCTTATGTCTGATCACGTTCCTGTGGTGTTTAGAGTAAAGTAGTGAGGTCAAGTCACGTCATAGTTGTATTAGTTTTGCTTGGTGGGATGGGTGTTGTGTATGTTTATTTAGCGTGTTTAATTTTGGTAAGTCGGGCTTCTCTTTGTTTTTTAAGTTCTGCACCTTTTTGTATGAAGTGTCCCTGTATTACGCTCTTGTGTGCCTCCCACCTAATCGTCGGGGGGGTATCCTCAGGTGTGTTGTCCTGGAAGTAGTCAGTTAGGACCTTCCCAAAGTGTTCGGTTAGTTCCGGGCGGGACAGCAAGTATTCATTCAGTCTCTATTTGGCTATCGCGAGTCTGAGGACGGGGGATTTAAGGGTTAGGGTGACAGGGGTGTGGTCCGACCAGGTTGCCACCCCCATTTCCGCGTCCAGTACCAAGGGAAGGTGATACTGTGTCGTGAGAAGGTAGTCCAGGCGGGTGTATGTCTGGTGGGGGTGGGAGTAGAAAGTCAAGTCTTGTTCGTCCGGGTGGTGTGCTCTCCAGCAGTCAACTAGTTTGTGTTTGGTCAGTAGGGATTTGATTGAGTTGAGATGCTGTTTTTGGACGTGTGATGTACTTGTAGAACAGTCCCAGACCGGATCCATTGCTATGTTTAAGTCACCCCCTATTATGAGGACCCCCTCAGCGAAGGAGTGTAGTTTGTGTAGGGTACGTTTAAGATAACGGTAGTGTTTACCATTTGGCGCATACAGTGTGGCGAAGGTGTATAGGTGTTCAGCCACTGTGCCTTTTATAAAGAGGTATCTACCCTCCCGGTCTGTCATGCTTGCCTTCTCTATGAACGGCACCTTTTTGTTGATCAATACCGCACCCGTTCTGAGAAATTTTAGATGACTTGCTAGCAATTTATTCAATGTAATATAGAACAAAAACAATTTATCGTATTTACAAAGACTCATTTCTAAACACATTTATTGTAATTTAAAGACACATTGCTGTAAGTATTATTGCTGTGGAGCTCTGTTAAACACTTAGACACACCCAACAATATAGAGCTCCTAGAAAAGAGGGGCTTATGGATTGGTTCCCAAATTAGCAACTGACTCTCCTAAACAGGGATACTTGGCACGTGTGATATGTGGTCCTGGCTAAGCATGGAAAAAAAAACTGTATTCCCTCATATTTGTAATTGGGCAGCATGCACAGAGGTTCACCTGTCGCAAAAACTGAATAGGGGCGGAGAAAGTTTTTTCATTATGTCACCATTTCCTACATATTTCCTTCTGCATTTCAGAAACTCTTTAATGACAACTTCCCCTTTCTGTGTCATTACCAGAATATAAACAGGAGTGTAAGAGAGAGGCACGTAAGCAGCCGTAATCTCCTTGTTTGTGCTGAGAACCCCTGTGCAAGGGATCTGAGGCCAGAAAGTTGCAGCACGGTGGCTATCCAGCTTGTCTGACAGGTTAGTGCACTGTTCATAGCAGGTTTTCTTTATGTTAAGTTACAATATCACTGTTCGACTGGAGGGCTGGGGACGCTAGGGTGTGTGACACACTATAGTGATGATATCCTGAAGCAGCGGGTTATTGCTAATCGTGGATGTAACTTGGAACTGAAGGGAACTTAAGGCAAAGGAGGACTGGCAGATTTTGGACAGGTGACACATACACTCTATCAATAACCTTTTTTGCACACAAATCTTACAAACTTCTATATGGAGGGTCCTACTTATATCGGCCATGTGATTTATGGGTTTTTACAGATGGATGCTGCACGGCGTGACATCATATACTTTAACTGTCATCTGTTTGACCTGTTTGGCATGCGGGAGTATTCACCTAGAAATCTGCATGGTTAATAGAAACACTAGATAGCCACCAATGACAGCTTGCATGTTTTATTAGCTTCATGAGCACGGTGTCCTCTCACACGGTGGTCCCATACTCATCATAGTCTGGCAACCTAGACACTTTCCAACACTTGAAATGGACAAAGAGGGATTTGGGACCAACATAGGGACTCTCTAGGCTAACAATTCCTTTCTGTTGCCTTATTCCTGCAGTAACATGCCAACTGGCACCTGCAGAGGGAGAATAAGGGCAGGGACTGCAGAGGGTGCAGGGGGTATGGGTCTGCAAGGAGGTAGGAACTGCCGTAGAGCAGGGAGTAGGGGGTTAGGGGCTGCAGGGGAGTAGGGGCTGCAGGGGAGTAGGGGCTGCAGAAGGTACAGGGGAGTAGGGGCTGCAGAAGGTGCAAGGGGGTTGGGACTGCAGAGGGTAGAGGCTGCAGAAGGTGCAGGGGGGTTGGGGCTGCAGAGCTCCCTCTGGGAGGTATGGGGCTACAGAAGGAGCAGAGGGGTTGGAGTTGTAGGGGAAGCAGGGGGTAGGGGCTGCAGGGGGAGAGCAGAAGGTGGGAGGGGGCTGCAGAAGGAACAGGGGGGTTGGAGTTGCAGAGGGAGCAGGGGGTAGGGGCTGCAGGGGGTAGCGGCTGCAGAGGGTGTAGAGGCCATGGGATGATGGGAGTTGGTGTAAAGGTATAGGGGTATAAGGGCTGTGATGGGGCAGTAGTGGGGGAGAATATGAAATCTAAATATTTTGAATAAATAAAAAACAATGATTTAAAAAAAAATCTCCCCTCCCCAAGTTTTACCTCCCAGGTGGTGCAAAAATCCTCTTCTGTATGTTCCTCACCGCCCCAGACATGCTGCCTGTAACACTGCTCAGGGCAGCTCCGCACAGCTCGCTCCGCACAGCTCGCTCTGCACTGTAACTGATGTCACTTCATGCAGAACAAGCTGCATGGAGCTGCCCTGAGCAGTGTTACACTGAGGGGCAGCCTAGAGGGGGTCTTTGGGAAGGCCCGTTAGCTATCCCTCAGTGTGCCCAGCAAGGGGGAGCAGATTTCTAGCAGTAGGGGCCCGCTGAAAGGCTGTGTGGGCCCCTTACTAAGTGCAGGCTGGCTGGGGAACTTGCTGAACTCCCCAGCTCAGCCATAACTGCACTGCAGAGAGTTCTCAGGCCACCACTGCCATGAGATATATGGTAAATAAAATGGTATGCCATCATGGGGGTATTTTTTATTCCTGGGCTACCATTTGGTCTCAAAGGCAACATAACCAGTCTGGCAAATTTCAATGTGTATAAACTGAAAAATGTATGTGTACTTTCAGTATTGCAGTAACAGCTAACAGTATTGTGACATTCACAGTTAAAATGCCATGCAGAACTAAAAAAAATTACAATTTCTCATTTTTAAAAATATTTTATTCATATTAAATTATGTTTAGTATGCAAATATTTGTGACATGAAAGCCCTATTTCTCATGAACAAAATGATATATAATAAGTGTGGATGCACATTATATGAAAGAGGTGAATTACGCCTGAACAGACATACAGTCAAATTCAAGGTTTTGTTAACGTTTTGTTTTGATCACAACTTGTACAATTGGCTTAGTCCTTAAGCAGTTAAACCGTCACGAATGGGGGGGGGGGGGAATGGGGTTGAAGTTGAGGAGGGCGGGGGGGGATTAGCAGCCACATAAACAGCTAGGGTAATTCTATAGTATTAGGATACAGGTATAGCGTTTCTTTAAGGAAAAAAAGGACCAAGCAACAATATGCTGCAGCCGAATCACCGAATTATCATACTGGTTTATACCTCCAACACTGATTATCTCACTTGTGCTAATGCATAAATATTGTCTGCTGCCGCCAATGTGATGACAATTGTGAAGAACCCCTCCGTTCCCTATGTTATTTACTGTTTGCATTCCCTTTTTATCCCCATTTCTGCCTATTGCATTTGGTAGATGGAAGTACCGAACAAGGACCACCCTATGGCTCATTAAACATCAAACGTTTAGGTGAAATTGCTACCTCTGTCTGTGCGGCCAGCGTTCGTTAGTCGAATGCCACGTGGCAGAGAAAACCGCGGCCATCTTTGTTCATGCGAACAAAGGCAGCGTGACCTGGTCGTCGAGTGCATGGAACTGTTTTGCGGACACTCGACTTCCCGAACACCGGTCCCAAACAGACGAACGCTGGAACTCTATTTACCGAATAGCTAGAAGAGCGCTATTCGGTACTTTGGTGCATTCGACAGAGGGGCACGAACGCTGCTATGAGCCAGAGGTATCCATTCGGTATTTTTATTCGTTTTTATGTTTTTTTCGAAAGTGACCGGCAAAACCCACCAAATTTGTGGAACTGTTTTGGGCATGCAGCCCAGGGTGAGTCGGTCACAGAAGACTTCCATAAAATTTGCGAACCCCTGAACCGATCTGGGTGAAATTCAAATATGTTGGTCACCCAGATCAGGGCTATCAGGGGACACATAATTTATGGGGATACCCCCAGTATAAAGGGGTGTTCTGAAAGTTGGGGGGAAAAGGGATTTTTCAGCCCGGAGATAATTAAGTTACTATTTTATCAAACTAAATTATCTCCTGGGCTAGGGGAGGGATTTGTAGGTGTGTGTTAACATTTTACTGTTTGTGATTGGTTATTGTTTGTCCCTCCCTGAGGGCTGTCCCCTTGCATGGGGACTTGCATAAAAGCTGTGTGCACCCATTAAAGGACAGTTCATTTTGTACCCTTCTTCTTAGCTTCGGCTGATGTTTGGGGATTCGTGTGTTTCACTGAGGGAATTATCTGGTGAGACTATTGGAATTGCTATAGGATTCGTCTACCCTAACTACTGAACGGAGGGCTATAATCACTAAGGCTCTGGCGGTTCGGGAGGAAACTACCGAATGAGGTTTAAATATACTTGGTTTCCTTACAACAATTAATAGTGCGTATGGTTTCTAGATCTCCATAAAGTTCCTCCAAAGAACCGGATTAAGTGATCATCCACAGGTGCAAACCTGCACTCGTTTACTGTATTCTCTACTCGATGTCATATCACAGAAAAATACTCAAAGCTGCATACAACAAATCAGTCACACTGTATGCCTCAAAGATGTCTCCATCATTACCCAATATGATGCATAATGTGTCTTTGTAACAGGTTAGACTAGAACATATTCCTTTTTCTGACAGGTGAGATTGCCATCATCAGGTTTTTCCTGTCACTGTTTGGAAGACTTTTTATCTTCATTTCTGTGAAACCAAGGATGTCCCTCCCACGCCAGCTTCGGGATGAGAGGTAAAAGGCACATGTCATGAAGACTAGCTATACATACATTTACACATGCAATATATCTGTAATCCATTCCATACTGTATTTTAAGAGCAAACTGTTGGCATTTGTAAGAAGTACAGTAATTCTGTGAAAGCCCTAGTTGCATGATTCATGCAAAAGCTATTAATTAACATTCTCATCCTTTTAACACAAGTTGTGCAACTACTCATTACTAGACCAAGTTCTGAATACTATACTGAATAATACTTACTTTATACTTACTGAATATCCTTACTCTAATCATTAAGCCAAGCTGGTAAATGTTACCATCATAGTAAAGTTATCTATTTATGGATTTATGTAGATTATGAACTAAGCAAACTCTTATGAGATTATAGCCAGTAGTACATCGCCAGATAATATAATCTCATTCTGTGCTATAGTAATTTAATCACCAGTATACTATCGTAAAATGCCATATCAATCACAATATACCACTGTATATTGCCCTCACAGTCTCCACTATACCACTGTATAATGTCAGCACAGTCACCAATATACCACTGTATAATGCCCTCACAGTCTCCACTATACCACTGTATAATGTCAGCACAGTCACCAATATACCACTGTATAATGCCCTCACAGTCTCCACTATACCACTGTATAATGCCCTCACAGTCTCCACTATACCACTGTATAATGCCCTCAGTCACCAATATATCACTGTATAATGCCCTCAGTCACCAATATATCACTGTATAATGCCATCACGGTCACAATATACCACTGTATAATGCCATCACAGTCACCAATATTCTACTCTATAATGTCATCACATTCACCAATATACCACTGTATAATGCCATCAGTCACCAATATACCACTGTATAATGCCCTCACAGTCACCAATATACCACTGTTTAATGTCAGCACAGTATCCAATATACCACTGTATAATGCCATCAGTCACCAATATACCACTGGATAATGCCCTCACAGTCTCCACTATACCACTGTATAATGCCATCAGTCACCAATATACCACTGTATAATGCCATCACAGTCTCCACTATACCACTGTATAATGTCAGCACAGTCACCAATATGCCACTGTATAATGCCCTCACAGTCTCCACTATACCACTGTATAATGCCATCAGTCACCAATATACCACTGTATTATGCCATCACAGTCTCCACTATACCACTGTATAATGCCCTCACAGTCTCCACTATACCATTGTATAATGCCATCACAGTCACCACTATACCACTGTATAATGTCAGCACAGTCACTAATATACCACTGTATAATGCCCTCACAGTCTCCACTATACCACAATATAGTACCATCTTGTTTGCTAGTCATAAATCAGCTACTGACCTTTGCTCTGCTTTCTGTTCCTTAGTGATTTTGACCAGTTACCTGAAGATGTTGCTGTATCTGCTCACATAGCAGATGTGGAGGAGAAAAGAGGCTTTACCGTATATTATGTAAGTCCTATCATTTCCATATATGCTTGGAGTTTGTTGTGTTTTGATTTCGTCAGTTTGACCAGTGGCATAGAACCATTACAATATTCCATCTGCTTTACTTGTTGCTACTTTGAGTGCATCTCCAGTAGGGTAAATGGGTAACTTCATATTTAGAATCTAAAAGAAATATACAGCTTTTATTCCACCTTACCAGAGTCTGTGAAATCCTTAAATATGTCCGTGTCTCTAAGGACTCAGCTATAGCATTAGCAAACACACATCCTCTTTACTTAAACCTCTCTGTTGCTCTGAATCAAATGTAACCTGTTGTTCCTTGCAGGCTTTTGTGATTGAGGTGAAAACCAAAGGTGGTAGCAAGTATTTTATATACAGAAGATACAGCCAATTTTTCACTCTCCATGCCAAACTGGAACTTAACTATGGCCCGGAGAATGGCATACCCCCATATGTCTGCATACTTCCTGTCTTACCACGTAAGTGCTCTACAAACCTTAAATCCCACCATTTGTAACAGCCACCAGCACTGTGCTCTTTTCTTACTTGTTCTGAATCTTACAAGACTTCTTACCCTTCTAAGTTAATCAACATCTTTTCACATCTTATGATAAGAAGGTCATTCTGTTTCTTTATATCCAGTGAGCAGTCTCTCTATTTGTGATATGCTTTCTGTCCAATATAGTTTATCAATACTCACTTTCAGTTCCAGTTGCAAAAAGTAAGTCTACGAACCCATCACTTTCTCCACTGTTTACCATCCTTTAAGTAACTCACATTATCCTGCTCATAAACATGTGTATCCTGGGGTATATTATCAACAGATAATCAAAGCTGTCTTTATTGCAAAAGGGGCAAACAACCTTGGGCCCCATAATTTACAGGGGTCCACTGCAACATCTGTCCTTTGCTCCCCTTGGCAATGATGGTCACTAACGGTGGAACTAAAGCCTATGCAGCCAGTGTCCTGCAAGCTGCAGGGGACCCATCAGGTGTACCACATATTTAGTACTGCTGATGAGCATATTTGATCAGGGAATGGAAGCAGGAGGATGTCTGAAAATATGCAAATTATGACTTGTATGTGTGTATTTGTCAGTGTGTTTGTGTATCTGTGTCTACATTTTTCAGTGTGTGAATTCATTGTCTATTTATCTGTGTGTGTGTTTGTTTTAGTATGTATATCTGTGTTTGTCAGAGTGTGTTTCTGTTTGTATCTGTGTGTGTGTGTGTCAGTGTGTATGTGTGTCTGTGTCAGTGTGTATGTGTATTTGTTTATACATCCCAGAATACAAATACTACATACAAACACACTCAGCATTCAAACGCAAACACTACACACAAGTAAATCACTTGTTTCAAATGACATTAGCACAAACACACAAGTGCATGCCGATAGACGCTCACACAAGATATATGACATTTCACATTTTGGGGGAAAAGCACAAGTGCGCCACTAGATAAGTTCCATCCACGGTAAAATAATTCCAAACGGCATTTGATGTTTCTGACAAAAAAATTGAATACAGCAGAATCATGTAAACGTGGGGACAGAAGTTAAATTAAATGGGTATGGAACCTGAGGGGAAGCCACAAAGTCATGACTTGGGGTCCAAACCTTTTAACATGTGAACAGACCTTTAATGGACTGTTGTTCAAAGGGAGCATATTTGCTCTCTATTGACACATATTGGTGGCCATAACCATAGCATGAATATTTAATCTCAACTGAACATTGTCTACGTGAAGCATATCACTTCACAGAAATGAATATCCATAACAATAAGCATATGCCTTAGTTTTAATAAAGTTGTTTTATAATGTGGTTTAATACAGTTAATAAAGCCATTTTAATACGTGCATGTTTTTCAGTTTCTTTTCGAGTGGGGTGGTAGAGGGAATTCGGAGTACGTGGATGCAGGGGTTCAAGGTGAGGGGTGAAGGTTTGGGAGGGTGGGAGGCCAGGGGTCAATTAATATTCTCTTTACAGTGGCCTTTCCATAGTGCTCAATGTTAGGCAGGGTGTTCAAAGTACAGGCTAGGCTGTTCCTTGTAATTCTTTCTCCCTAAGCAAACTAGGACTCTACGCTTTATCTTTGCATAACTATGTTGCTCTATATTTTTCCACACCAGCCTGTAGGTATGGTGTGGGTAAAGGAGCATATAAATAATATATATATCCTTAAAGATAAAAATAGCCATTTATTTTTTTTGTATAAAAAACATTATCTGGAAATCTATTCATAAACAGGACAATACATAGGAGAAGAGGTCATGTTTAAATAACAGTTGGATAAATACTTGCAAAAACACAATATACAGAGATATACATTTTAATTAGTGGGGTAATAGCTTCTTGATCAATGGAGATATCTGACTGCCATTTTGGCATCAAGAAGGAATTTTTTCCTAGTTTGTTGCACAGTTGGAAGCGCTTCAGACTGGGTTTTTTGCCTTCTTTTGGATCAACAGCAAAAATCACACATGAAAAAGGCTGATTTGATCGACGCGTGTGTCCTTTCTGCTATATAACTATGTATATGAGAATGCAAAGGATATTATCAAGCAAGTAAACATTTTACTAATAAAATCATAAAATATTAATATATTAAACCCCTATTGTGGATTGTTTCCTACAGGATAAAGCATACCCCCATCTCCTGTCACTGTGTTTTGGACTAATTGAAGTGTAGTGAGAGGAGTTTATCAGTCAAATATTGAAATTACAGCAATTAAAATCTCTTGAAAACATTTGACTTTTATAGAAAGATTAAATATTTTAGCTTGGGGCAGGGGCTGCTTGTTAATGTGCAAACCTGCCTCCGCTTTCTGTGACGTTAGAGGCACATCCTTATATACAGAGCATTTAAAATGTCCAGTGCTCTGTATGAATGTCCTTGCATTGTTGGTAGTGCTCATCTTATCACAGTAATTATTGTGGGAACTTGGTTCCCTCTGCACATATAGTATGGGAACCAAGTTCCCATTGGTACCCACTGCACTAGAGGGACATTTACCTTTCATTAAAGGATCACTATAGGCACCCAGACCACTTCAGCTTAATTAAGTGGTCTGGGTGCCAGGTCCAGCTAGGTTTAACCCTTTTTTCTATAAACATAGCAGTTTCAGAGAAACTGCTAAGTTTATAATACCGTTAATCCAGCCTCTAGTGGCTGTCACATTGACAGCCGCTAGAGGCACTTCTGCGCTTCTCACTGTGATTTTCACAGTGAGACGACTCCAGCGTCCATAGGAAAGCATTGAGAATTATTAGAAGTATTAGAATGCTTTCCTATGGACTGGCTGAATGTGCGCGTGGCTCCTGCCGCGCATGCGCATTCAGCCAATGACATTGCTATGGAGGAGGAGAGGAGGAGGAGAGTCCCCCTCCCGGCGATGGAGAAAGAGGTAAGTTTAACCCCTTCCTCCCCCTAGAGCCCGGCAGGAGGGGGACCCTGAGGGTGGGGGCACCCTCAGGGCACTATAGTGCCAGGAAAACGAGTATGTTTTCCTGGCACTATAGTGGTCCTTTAATCTGAACGATAACCTATAGTTTATAATAATCAACCCCTTAAAGACTGGTGGTGTCCTATGACTTCTTAGCAATTTGATCTTTAAGAGGTCTATTCCCCAAAAAAGTATAGTTCTCAATGAATGGCAGTAGGACTTCCAAGACTCAATAATCTGAAAATTCACCTTTTGTAAGGGGGTCAGAAATCCACCATAAATAAGTAGGATACGACTGTAATTACAGCAAAAATCAATATTTGTCCTTAAAATGTTCAATTAGGAAGTATACTTCAAGATTATGTAGTTGTAAAGTATTTTTGGGATTATATGTGTGCATATTGTGTTTTAGTTTAGTTCAGATGTAATTGAATTTGTAGTTTCTCGGAATGTGTTTTAAATCTGATTATTGACTTTTACCTACAGCAAAGATCTATGTCGGGAGCAAGAATGAAATTGCAGAGTCTCGCATTCCACTTCTCAATGCATATATGAAGGTAATTCTGCTAGAGGCTTTATGTTTTACTGAGAAATTCCTCATGTTAGCTTTTATCTAGAAAAATTCAATTTTAAATCCAAAAGCCACTACTGGATGCTAATTCTACTTCACCACTCTGTTGCTTCCTTCTCTACGCATTTCACAATCTCAGCCCACTAATAAATATTTCTGTAGCTTGGGACACCCACGGCTATAATTGCACATACTAGCTAAATGACCAATCCTGATTAGCAGCCATTGCAGTCTGACTGCCAACATAAATGTACAATATTATAGTCAGTTTGGCTCTTTTCCTAATATAGAAAATGTACTTTATAATTCACCACAATTCTTTTGTTAAACACTAAATAGATTGGGTTCAGTCACTAGCTACAAAAATATCTATTAGTGGGCTGAGATTGTGAAATGTTTGAGGACCTGTGGTAAACTGATAAACAAATAGCAGATTTTATATAAAACACAACCACTTTAATTCGGTTCTGTCACCCCTTCAGCAGGAGTGTTAAGACCTGCAGTGGTTATGGTACTGCAGTCTTCTATTCCTTCCTCAATAGCTGAGCCTAAGTGATTAGAACTGCAGTAGGAGGTAGAGGAATAGTGTAGATGAATGCAGCTTCCAAGATGATTCCCCCCAGCAAATAGAATATTCCCCAAACATGAGCCTAGACTTCATGAAGGGTGTAACAGGAATGAAGTTTATTGATGACACACTGGCTTTTATGAGAAATCCTCCTGCAAGAGGACCTCCCACAGTAAACAAAGACAATAACCAATCAACATACAGCTTTACAGTAACCTCGCCCTCTCTCTGCCTGAGAGATATTGAGATAAGTTAAGGAATAACCCAATTATCTCCAGGCAGAGGGCACACAATTTTCCCAAAAGTTAGAACATCCCTTTCCACACAAGGTATCCCCACAAATTACATATCCCCTGATAGCCGCGATCTGGGGCACCAACATATCCAAATTTCACCCAGATCGGTTCAGGGGTTCTTAAAAAGGATGGAAGTCACAAGTTACCGACCACGAGGCTTCTGCCCAAAACAGTTCCACGAATTCAACATGTGTGGTCAATTCAGAAAAAGGCATAAAACTAATAAAAGTTCCGAATGGATCCTCCTGGCTCATAGGAGCGATTACTCCCCTTGTCTGTATGAACAAAACTACCGAATGGCGCTCTCCTGGCTGTTCGGCAACTAAAGGAAGCAAGCGTTCGGTAGTTTCAGCGGTGATTCGGGGGGTCGAGTGTCCAATTTTAGTTCCAGACACTCGACGACCAAGTCCCGCTGCCTCCTTTCGCGCAAACAAGATGGCCGTCGTTTTCTGTTCCACGTGGCATTCGGCTCTACGAAAAGTGGCCGCCCAGAGAGCGCTTAATAGATGGTTCTTTTGAAGTTAATGAGCTAGGAGGGTGGTCGGTGTTCGGTAGTTTTAAACTACCGAGTCAATAGATTCAACATGTACAAAAATACTGCAGAAAAAAACAGAACATAGGAGAAAATACTGAACTAAGTCTATTTTCTTCACAAGGAGTATTTTGTAAAAATAAAATCTTCATGAAATCCTAACATTGACTGTATTTTAATTTCACTGAAATTCCATCCAGTCAAAACATATACTGAGGAACTACTTTGTCTCAGTTTTGTTCCTATGCTTCACAAGCTTGACAAAGGGGAGCGTTACCTTTTGTCAAGCTTGTCATTTCCCTCAGCTGTCCCTAGTTATGGCCATAAGGGAAAAAAGATGCTTCTATGGAGGATCCACCGGGACCACGTACGCACAAGAGTATAGTGCTGACGATGGCTCCTTGCAGTCTGTCCTTTGCTCTCTCCTATAGGGCAGCACTCTATTCTCTCCTCCAGCATTGCTTCACTCCACCTTATTTGATTGCTACCTCCTGTCCTATTGTGTTATACCCCCCACCTCCTATAGACTGTAGGCTTGTTTGAGCAGGGCCCTCTTCAACCTATTGTTCCTGTAAGCTTTTGTAATTGTCTCATTTATTGTTAAATCTCCCCCTTTGGTAATATTGTAAAGCGCTATGGAATAAATTGGCGCTATATAAATACCAGTCATAATAATAATAATACATGCCCATTGTGGCTATTTTGGCTTTGGTTATGCAATTTAGCTTTTAATTCCTCAATTTTGTATTTTATTGGATACATGTATTTTTATGTCTTTTTTTGCCTTTTTCACTTCAAGTGTAGAATAAATGTCAGTTTTCACCAACTGTTAGAAAGACGTAACTTGCTTCAAGTATATCAAGGTATAAGGTATACTTACATAGAAATGTTATCTAGTATTGGGGCATTTTCTGTATTATAAGTTTTATTTGTAATGCTTTAGTTTTACAATTCACTTAATACAAACTGAGTAGTATAAATGTTTCATTTATGTGTAAAAAGAATACAGAAAAAGAAATGACATGTAATTTTGAATCCCACCAGTAGCTGGCGCTTGTGACCACAAATAACCAAGCCAGACATGTTGCATAAGGTTTCAACTTGCACTGGAAAGACAGTATTTGCTCACTGTACACTAGGGTAACCATATTTTTCAATGCATGTTTCTTTATTAGAGGCAAAGGTTTCTAAAAGAGAGAAAAACAGATTGCTTTATGGCTAAGAATATAATTTGTGTACAATGTTCCTTCTAATATTTAGTCATTTGTGTGCAGAAAAATGCTGTTCTGCAAATTATTTTCCTGTCAGAAAAGTATGTGCAAACTGAATTCTTGAAACAATGTTCAGGTTTACATTTTCACAAGACAATTTTATCACATTGGGAGTAGGTTATTAGGCACTGTTTTTACTCTGTAGTTGGCTTATGATTTAATTGTATGCTTTTTGTATAGCTCCGTTATGCAAGCCACATTACTATGTACTGCCTGTCATTTGTGTGCATCTCTTATATATTTGAATATGGTGTTGGTTTAAACTTTAGTAGTGCCTTATAAGGTTTGCAACTTGGCATTCTCATTGTTTTATGTGCCTTCTCTCTCACATTTTTATTTGTATAATACAAGTATATTACCATGTTTTAATATAACACACATAGGATAGCAAGCTATATTATGCCCCCATGCCACATTGTCTAAACATTGCCTACATATATATTTTAGTTTGCCTTCATTTTATAATGCAAAAAGATAAGTCCTGCGCTCACTCCCATCACTACTGGGCCGGCAGCAATGTCTACAGTACACATCAGCCCCGCTTTAGAGGGGACCTGCTTTAGGAGGGTCTGCCTTGAGGTTGGCAGGCGGGCATTCCCTCCACTGGCCATTGGAGCAACTAAATGACCTCCATTTGTCTAAATATACATAGGGATTAATGAGAGAGCGCAGGTAACTTTTTCTTTTCTTTGGTTTTTACTATATATTGGAGCTGATGTGTACTGTAGTCATTGCTGCCGGCCCAGTAGTGATGGGAGTGAGCGCAGGACTTATCTTTTTGTATTCGTATGTACTTTGTATCACATAGCCTTGTTACAATGCTGCCGCCCATCCCATGTGTTCCCTATTAAGGGTTAATAAGTATATAGGGGTGTATATAAAGGGTACCCCTCTCTGTCTCATTGGAGATATCTTTTCCAGAAGCTCAAGGAAGCAGGCTGAAGGGTCAGTGTAGGACCCACTTAAGGGGGGTCTGCCTTGACGTTGGCAGGCTGGCATTCCGTCCAGTGGCCATTGGAGCAACTAAATGACCTCCATTTGTCTAAATATACATAGGGATTAAGGAGAGAGCGCAGGTAACTTTTTTGCTTTCTTTGTTTTTTTCATTTTATAATGCCCACATCCATGCCGCATTGACTCCATTTTATTATGCAGATTGCATTCAGTCAGGCTGTCTATTGATATATCTGCACTGGGCTTCCTTACACATGTCACGCAGTACTGTGATTCTCGACTGCCGTCCCGCGAGATGACAATAAATAAAGCATTGCGGAGATTCACAAAGCTGCGCAGTGCGTGTAAAGGAGCACAAGTCCTGCTCCTGAGTCCTGACACATCCGCAGAGGCCCACAGCCTGCGCTTGCTCATAATTTCGTTATGTGCGCTAAATGCAAAATAGGAGTGCGTGCGCATGCACACACCTTACAGGAAACAGAGTTCATGTACTATTTTAAATATTTGCTTTAATAATGTCAACATAAATACAGAGTGTCATTATAGTAATTGTTTTTTTCATTTTCTAAATGCAATCTGTAGATAATGCATTAAAACTATGGAAAAGCAATATTGGGAACAAAAAAAAGTTCACATTGAGTCTGTGCTCAGACCTGGAAGTAACATGATAGTCACTTAAATGTCTATAGCACTGCTGAGCTTATCGTGCGAGCACAGCGTACAGCAATGATTCTGGGAGGTGTACAGAAGAACTACAACTTACAGAATCATCAACCATTGGATCACGTACAGAAGTTTTAAATTAAGTATCTAACCACAATATGGATGTCAATGTAAATGGTAACCCTACCCAACTAGTTCACCTGTATGGGTATTGTGTAAAACTCCAGTAGCTGAGACAATGTTACTCAAAAGTCAACTTGCCAAACACACCAGTTGATTGTAAGGGGTGTGAGTTGATGCTTTCAAATAGCTGCCCCTAGGCTGACCAACTAGGAGATAGTAATTATTTGCAATGTTACAATCTATTTTTACACTTTGGTAAGCAAAAGATAAAGTCAGAGTTTAAAGTGACAAATTGTTTTTGAAATTGTTTGCGTAGTTCATTTCTGCAATAAATAAAAAAATATATATATTTTTTTTGCAAATATATAGATAAGGTGAAAGTCAAAATGGGCAATTGATAGAAATTTACACCGGTATATTTTATCTCTATTAAGTAAATCCAGGTTGCATATTTTTACAATATGTCTTTGAAAGATTTAACACAAACTTAATAATGAATAGACATGTGCAATTCGCTTCGGTCCGAATTGAAATTCGGATGAATTTCACACAATCGGATGCTACCTAATGGCAGAATTTCGGAAGTGCAAACCGAAGTGCCGAATTTCGGAAGTGCCGAAGTGCTTTGGACTTCTGAAAAGTGGCAAAATGGGTAGGGTTAGGGTTGGGTTAAGAGTAAGGTTAAGGGTAGGGTTGGTTTAGGGTAGGGGCAGGGTTTGGAGTAGGGTTAGGAGTAGGGCTAGGAATAGGGGTAGGGTTAGGGTTGGGTTAGGAGTAGGGTTAAGGGTATGGTTAGGGTTAGGGTACCCCTACTCCTAACCTAATCCTACTCCTAACCCTACTCCTAACCCTAATCCTAGCCCAATCCTAATCCTAACCCACCTCTACCCCTAACCTAACTCTAACCCTACCCCTAACCCTACTCCTAACCCTCCTCTTAACCCAACCCTTACCCTGTAAGTCCCGCAGTTTCGGAATGCCGAACCAAATTTTTTGGCCATGCACATCCCTAATAATGAATGGATAATCTTGGTGATTGCCATTTTTATATCGTTTTTACTTGTCTTTTAGAGTTGTTATACTTCAGCTTACTTTTTTCTAATTCTTGATCATGTTGGCTATCTATTTTATCCTGTTTCTGATGTTTCTTTTAGTAAGAACATAATGAAGAGGTTAATGTGGCACTGGCTACAGATTTAAATATTATGGGGTTATTAACAAAAATGTGAAGTCTTAGGAACCCCAAAATAATTTAGGTCTCACTAGTCTATTTAAATCAGCAGACTATAATAGCTATAAAATCACACACACTGATGACATTAAATGGCTATATTACTTGTTAATATATCTCTCCAATACCTGCCTTTCTAGTGCACCTCTGTTAAAGATACATTTATTTATCTCGTGTAGGGTCTGCTGAATTCCCCTGTTTGGCTCCTATTAGATGAAGATTTGAGGGTATTTTTCTGCCAAACAGTATTTGACAGTGAGCGGATCCCACGTGGCCTGCGCAGGTTGCGCCCCCAAACGCGGAAAATGTAAGACTTCATCTTTTCTTTTTCTAGATCCCAAATCTCTCTCTCCAAACAGAAACAAAAGAAAACTATAGGCCATGTTTATCAAGGCAATAGTTTAACAATGCAACCATAGCCATACATTTTGAGCAATCATTATATCGACAAGTGAAAGGTTTATACTAAATGCTCCATATATAAACCTTTGCAGCTAAATAAAAGATGCTGTCCATAAATTAATTTAATATTCTCTTAAGTACTTTATCGCATTTCTCACAAGGTTCTTACCACAAAAGAATAACTCCTACACGGTGCCAGATCTTTGCTGACATATAATATGAAGATGAACTATGCGCCCCTATACAAAATGATTGTTGCAACTAACTAGTCCTATAACATATGGTGGATCTGTGCAAATCTTTCAGGTCACCTAACAGAGATCATTCTCTGCTCCTGATGTCTAGTTCACGCTGCTACATATGTTTTTGATGTGTATATAAAAGCAAACCTATTTACAATAGCAAACCTATTTTTATAAGATGGTTACATACCAGTTTAATGCCAAGATCAATGACCGGTCAGGCATGTTATATTTTAAAGCAGTGTGCCAAAAAGGTAGGTCCCCAGATGTTGTAGAACTACAGACTCCATGATGCTTTGTCATTCTAAAGACATGCACAGCATCATCTGAACTGTAGTTCTACAACATCTAGAGATCTACCTTTAGGGCACCCCTCGGGACATGCCGAGACCTGGGTTATTACAGGATTAATAAGTAATGTTTCTACAAGGTTTATTTTTTAGTTGTTGGTACATTATAGAAATTGTGGCACACAGTGCTTTGTAAATAAAATTCCTAAATGCATGAACATGTGTGAACATTTCAAAATGTGAATGGAGTCAAAAAAGAACTTTCTGTATAATGTAACAAACCCCGTATAATATTGTTATATTTACTTTGCATTCACTTATATACTTAATGATGGGTAACCTTTGGTAAATCAGTTGTTTTGGAACATTGGTGCTCCACAGTGGAGCATCAGGGAAACCACAATTCATATCATCTGCACTGAGTAATTCAGTATATTTCTGTTTAGCAGCAAACGTTTCTATTAATATAATTTGTTTCATATCTCTTAGAAAGCAGAACACTCAACATGTCTGTTCTGATATGGACAGACCAAGGGCAGAGGTAAGCTTTTCTAAAATACTTTGTCATAATTTTTGTGCATCAAAAGCTGGAACATATATGACTTTCGTAGATGTAAAAAACAAAATCTGGTGGAACAGTTGAGTCACTGCAATATTTTTTACGTCTGTGTACCGACTACATCAACCACATTTAATTATTTAATTTCCTGTACGTTCATCTGTCCATGTTCTGTCTCTCCTTCTAACCTGTACTGTTTTCCCCTCTCTCTCAATACTCCACAATTCTGTCTCTTCCTCTCCCTTCATAGTATCTCACCCATTCTCCCTCCTCCCCCACCCCCAAAATGTTTCCCCCATAGTGTCTCCCTCGTCCCATAATGTTTCTCTCATATTATGTATCCCCATAGTGTCTCCCACCATACTGTCCTCCCCCCCCATACTACCTACTCTTGTACCGTGACCATGTTGTCTCTGCTCACTTAGGCTTTTAGCTCTCCTGTTCAGCCTCCACACATTAAATGTTGTGTCCCTGGTGAAAATACGAGAGGAACAAGCAAGGAGTTGGCACAAAATCAGAACTCGGAGGCTAAACAGGGCAACAAAGAGCATTTTGATGAGTGCTGAGATTTCTAACATGTTAGAGGAACAGTGATTCATGTAAAGGGAACACAGCCTACACTGTCAGTAGGATGGTTGGAGAGTTCTTTGAAATCTCCAAACAGCTTATTGCTGGCCCCTGTCTGTGTGTGCATTGTGCGATCCCTGTGCAATTGCACAAGTTGCAAACTCATAAGGCTGGCCATGCAAGTGATCATCACCCCACCACTGTGCCATATTAACACCTTTCCAGGCTCTGGGCCTTAGACGGCCACCTTAGACCACCTTATGGGGATACAGGTATGCTCCTATAACCACACTGTCACTTATACAAAGAAACCTGATCTCTCCTGTACACACTGTCCCTTATACACAGATACCGTATCTCTCTCTGGTACAAACACATGCAATTTCTATCTCATACAGACACATTACACGTACGCAGACATCTAATCTCTCTCTTATACACACAACCCCTTATACACATTCACCCAATCTCTGTACAGATGACACACTTATTATTCCCATATACATTTCTCTTTCTATAGGCTCTCTTTGATTTTAAGGGCAACGCTGCACCTGAGCTGTCCTTTAAGAGTGGAGACGTGATTTATCTTCTGAGTCAAATCAACAGAGACTGGTTGGAGGTGAGAGCGAGCAAATACTGGTCTGTCACCAGAACATTTCAATGTTTCTCCCTCTTATGTTCTTACACATCATATTTTACTTTAATATTAACTGCACAGTTCGATAGACAAAACTATGAGATGTAAAACAAAAATCATTTATTCTATGTCTTTAACTTAGCCCTGCTGTGAAAATATCCATTTAGAATATAGTTTCAGAATCGCCGTTAGAGCCAGTTCTGTCAACAGGAAATTTGATTTCTTATGTTTTCCTGTGCCTGTCAGTTTGTGGCGGGATGCAGCAAATTAGACGTGCCACATATTAAACTCCTTCATTCCGTATAATCCTGATGTACAAGGGACAGCGGAGAATAGTATCCGTATTCTAAAGGCAGATGGCGCATACATTTGTTTATTGGTTGTTACAACTCTTATGATTTTTTTCGTATGGTTGCTAGGGAACAGTCGGTGACCGGACAGGTATCTTTCCACATTCATTTGTGAGGATAATCAAAGACCTCCCGGAGGAACAGTATTCAGTCAGCCTGCTGCGATGTTATTTTCATGATGATGATATCTGCCACATCAGGTAAAATTTAATATATATAAAAAATGAGCACTATTCCAGACTTTAAATTAAGTAGAAAACATACAAAATAAATTACCAAGTGGTTGCATTCTCTAACCGTGAAGTGTTTAATCCATCTAGCCTTTTCACCAGTACAGTTACAATATTATGTATAAATAACTATCACTCAAATCATCAATATATATTTCCCGTCACATTTAACCTTGAGTGCTATTTTTGCACGTATAAAACAATCCATCTCATTTTTCTTTGTCAAAAATTATTTTTAACTGATTTATATGTAGAGGTATATAGCAGATTAAATACATCTTGCGGTTTATACTTCAGTTTAAAATTACTATTACCCAACAGGAAACAGGAAGTATGAATAATTAGTATTTGATGAATAATTTTATTGGGGAAGATATCATTTACACCCCAGTGGAAAAAGCCAAAACAATGAAACTGTTTAAAAGGAAATTGTCATCGAAGCTGAGTTTAACGAAGTATACATATAAGAGAACCTGGACAGTCTGGGACAGCCAAACTCTAATATTAATAGCATAGAGATGACCAGAACTAGGATTCCAATTGTTAGTCATTAATTTACCATACCACAGCAAAGTTTCAGGTCACATAGTCTTTCTTGTTGAGAAAGGCACCACATGAAATAAGCAACAATGAAATACCTTAAAATAGAGAATCTCAGGTGTCTGTTATAGAATATGAAAAAAAAAATCTATCATGGGTTATATGTTTATTACATATATGTAATGTGCAGGAATAGAACCTTTAAAAAGCTGTCTTGATTTATGTTCCTATTTATAATAATATGAATGCAACAAAGGTAGACAGACAGGCAGACCGAAAAATAGTCAGAGACAGACAAATGTGTTGAATGAACCTTGATGTACCATTTTATTATTTATTTTCTTTTAAATAAAAAAAATCTATCAATCCTCAAACTAACAATAATTACAATAATATTAAAATTATACTGGCACAATTGGAAAAAGTAGACAGAAGTCTCTCTCAAAATTTAAGGCCCAAGGTGAATGGCATCCTTAAAATTAATCATATTCCCTAAATAAGTAAAACACTATCAACACTGATCAATACTTTGTCTTTCACAGGGACATCTCTGTTGAGGAAGATGTGAGGAAATGTCCATCTTATAAAGAGCTTCTAGATTTAATAAGGTGAGTATAAACATCCAAACAGAATGCTGTCAGTTCCGATATTAGTCAACACTGCCGTACCTTGGCATTATAGTTTGACGGGTTTTTCAGAAATGACTAAGTTGGTATCAGATTTATCATCAAATAAAAAATATTTGCTGGTATTACTTTAAATTTGCCAAGAGAACCCATTGAGGTATTCAGCAACATTTGACCTTGAATATTTCCACTTACTGGGGAGATTTTCATGAGTTTGATCTAGCAAACAGTGAATTCACTGAATACAAGGGTAGAATTTATGTAGCAAATTGATGTCATTGGTGGTATTTTGAAATACATATATACCTTATAGCTTTATCACACAGTTACCCTCATTTGTATTACAGAAATGAATTTCCTGACGTTGATGTGGTTCTGAACATGCAGGACAATGAGGGAGAACTCATTCGCCTAATGGACAACAGTGACATGGACCTCCTCATCACACAGGGGAAAAGGAAAACCCGTGCTGGGAACTACTTCCCATGGGAACTGCATGTGACTCGCAATGGGGACCTGGACATTTATGGAACAGGATCATGAAAGACCAAATAAATTATAACTCTGTGTGCAATATGACATATTATGTTCAGTATTTCTGTTCATAATGTAAATGTGGAATTAAAAATTCAAGATTGTAAAGTATGAAAAGGGAAACTTACTACAATATTCAATGCTGGTTACATTGAAACAAGGAGATCATGTTTTTATATTTGTTGAAGGTTCTTTTAATCTCAGCTACTAGAACTAGAGTAGTCACAAAGAACGTCATGTGAGCCTGCACACACGAAATGGGGCTCTGTAAGCCACCATACCCAAAGCACTCACATACCACATCCTCTGGAGCATCTTCCCCTAAGTAAGACCTCAAAATAAGAAACAAATCAAAGGGCAATTAGAAGGCTGGAGCATCTTCCCCTAAGTAAGACCTCAAAATAAGAAACAAATCAGAGTGCAATTAGAAGGCTATTTAACCAGATAGCATAACAATATTTTGGCTGTAGCCTTAACTGTGATTAAGGATATTAACGAAACATTGTAATATTATCTGTTTAAATCTTCGTGTCTCGGACCAAATAAAAAGCATGGCCTTCTAATTGTACTGCACGTTGTGCAGCCCTCTGATTTTTTACATTTTGTTTCTTATTTTGAGACAAGTACTAGAGTAGTCATCAACCACACTTATTCCATGAAACAACATAGACCACGATTCAGTTATCTGGTTGCGATACACGGAACATTAACCACTATCTGTGATTTAGTAAGGTGCATGATTGTTGTGGGGCCTTAAACACTTTTTTCTTCTCTAGACATATATTATTGTATATTTTTTATTTCATTTGTAAAGTGTATGAACACCTGTACCACACATAAAATAATCTATTAAAACATTCTTGTTTAGAATGTATTATTGAAAATAACTTATTTTAATTGCAATTGTTTGTAGCTGTTTTTGTAAAATGTGTAAATTGTTTATTTAGAATCATATTTGCTCATTGTGATAAAATACAATTAAATTCTAAAGTTGCTGTACAACAATTTTATTCATTACAGATATGTCAATTTATATATCAGGGAAGACAAAAAAAATAATACATTTATGTCATCTTATACTAAGAGATCCAGTAACTAAATTGAGACCACATTATAAAAAATACCTTGTTGGTAATAACTTTAGAGAAAAAAAAATTGTTTAAATAAACAAAACTCTGTTAATGCTTCCAATATTCCTATATTGTAGCAGTGTGGAAACCTGTGTTCCATGTACTAGGGCATGGGATGAATAGATATATATATTCAGTGGATATTATCATGTACTGTCCACTCTTTATTTTCATCTTCCCACTGATTGTTTGCCAAAGTAATAATACTATTAAACAAGCAACATCAATTGTTGGGGGTATCCTTTACTTGCTTATATTTTTAGCCATGAAAACTTGTATAAAATACCTGCGTACATAAAGCTAGTTCCTAACCCCAGTACCATTACCTCAATACCTCACCGCTGCATACATTTTGGGGTTAGAGTTTCTTTAATCACACATCCATAACATCACACTTAAATGAGAGTTGACAATTGCCAGTGCACTATTCACACTACCTGACCCCCATAAAGGGATACAATAGGTATTAAAAAAACAAAACTTTAGCTTAATGAAGCAGTTTTGTTGTTTAGACCATGCCCCTGCGGTCTCACTGCTTAATTATCTGCCATTAGGAGTTAAGGATCTAAGTCTGTCCCCTCCTCTCTGGAGCACACCAATAATATCAGAAAGAGTCTTGAGTCCCATTCGGTTCCTGTGCACTGCAACTCCTATCCAGTGTTTGACCCCAAGGAACTGGTGTGTATAGGAATCAAAAAGATCGGTTCAAATTGGAGAGGAGGGGACAGACTGAGATCCTTGTCCAAATGTGAGAATGGCTTTAATGTAGACAATGATTTGGTTTGTTTTTTTGTGAACCCTACAGGAGATATGTGTGTAGATTAAAATATGCTTTATAATCTTTTACATTTTTATATTTTCACATTTTTATCTTTATTTTTATAATTATATATTTTTTTATTATATTTTTTTAGATTAATATTTCTAGTGACACATGGCACATACGTTCTCATTTGAAGAAATATGTGATTGACAGTCATTTTGTAAATTTGAGCTTGTCAAGTGAGGCAACCTATATAATTACATATATAGTATGAGTGTGTGTGATGAGTAATGGGCTTACATTCATAGCACTTTAATCTATGGTGCATACATTTTTCACCCAAATATCTAAGATAAAACCTTGCCTAAAATAAATATATAAAGATGATAACTGTTCGCTAAGACAACTTCGTTTTTCACTAGACTAAGGAGTTAAAAATAAATCTGTGATTTTTGGTAAATTCATGAACTACATGAACAATAAAGCTTCATTTGAAATTGGAACACACGGAAGGAGGCGGTGGTATGCAAAGCCAGATATTGATTAAGAACACGGCGGCAATTGAAAAACCAAAAACAGCCTTGGAGAGGAGAAATGGAAGAAAGCTAAGTAGCTTTTTTCCATATTTTGCACATTTGTTGTTTAGTGGATATTTTGTCATTTTATGTCCTCTCATTTTATCCTGCAGTGTAAAACATTGCAGTTTTTCAGAATCCCCAATGTTTGCATTGCGTGGTTAAATCTACCTTGTCGCTCTCAGTATGACATCCACTAGAGATGCTTCTACTGTACTGACTAGTAAAACTAAATCACGTGATATGCAAGCTCCGAAAGGAAATCATTGATTCACTGCTATCCTATGGGAAAGTTTAAATGTGCACACATTAAAGGACCACTGTAGTGCCAGGAAAACATACTCATTTTCCTGGCACTATAGTGCCCTGAGAGTGCCCCCATCCTCAGGGTCCCCCTCCCCCGGGCTCTAGGGGGTGGAAGGGGTTAAACTTACCTCTTTCTCCAGCGCCGGGTGGGGGACTCTCCTTCTCTTCTCCTCCTCCTCAGCTGAAAATCACAGTGAGAAGTGCGGAAGTACCTCTAGCGGCTGTCAATGAGACAGCCACTAGAGGCTGGATTAACCCTATTATAAACATAGCAGTTTCTCTGAAAAAAGGTTAATCCTAGCTGGACCTGGCACCCAGACCACTTCATTAAACTGAAGTGGTCTGGGTGCCTATAGTGGTCCTTTAATTAAATCACTTTGTTTATGCAGTCCTAGCCAAACCTCCCTTGACTAAGACACATACAGCCTCATTATACACTTCCTGAAAAAGAGCTAAATTTTTTTTAGCTTTCCTTATTTCACAGTGTGTTTAATTTAGAACTTCAAAACTCATGCTCAGAAAAGAACTCAGAGCAGATAACATCCAGCTATAGAGAGGCAGGCAATGATGCCCAGCAGACCCCAAATAAGAAGTCAAACGGTTTGCAAAAGTACACTCTTGGCACCATAAACACTACAGCAAATACATTATACATAGTAATATTAAATAAATTATGTGTTCAACAAGATGACCTTTAAGTTTTTTTAGTATTGAACTTAAAGTTTTTGGATACCTAAGGAACTTTGTGTGCATATAATAAACATTGGTGAGATTTTTATTGTTCTGACAAAGAATTGGGGTTCTTCAGCCCCTATCCTGCCCCCTGTTGCTCGGCTAATACAGATGCTTCCATCATTGGAGATTTGATGGCTTTGGATCCATACTGAAACTTCCATATTTTCTGAGCAGTAATTTAAAATCAGGACATTGGTTTCCAAAAAGTGCTCCAATGTGAAAAATTGGGGGTTTTGTAACCCAACCTGACTTTTTTGAGCTGCAGTTGTCATGGTGTTTAGAGTGCTCATCTCAAATCCTAAAACCTTCTGAGATATTTCTTTTATAAGACAATTGTACTTTAATAACCTTGCTATAAACCCATGACTGGAAGTCCCCTTTAAAGTTTTTTTTTTCTATCCTTTACCTTCTTCCTACATACAGGCACAATTCACTTCTCTATTCCTTGAACCGGTTGCAACACACAGGAAAAGACGCTGTCTCAATACTTTCATGAAAGCTCCTGCTCTCACACACAAACACACACACATTGAGCATACAAATCTCCAAGTCTCTAAAAGAGAGTTGAAGATTGTTGGCCTTCCGGAGATAAGAACAGGTAAAAGTGGGAGAACCTTGCCTAAAGCATGAGAATGGGAATGAAGTACACTGAGCTGTTCATACCAGATATAAAACGTCAGGACAAGTGAACTCATGGAGAACATCTACTAAGAGAGTCTTCATTTCGTGGCAGTCTGAAAATTCCAAAAAATATGGATTATACATCACAGCTCTCAAGTCTTCTCAAGTCTTAGCTTTCTAAACAGCATTACAGAAAACACAACAGAGGATCATCATCAAAATACAGAAATTCCAAGAGGTATTGTATAAGAGTCACATTTGTTTTAAGCTATATAAGCATTGCAACATATAAGTAAGTTCTCATGTACTGGTTTTAGTATGTCTGTAAACAGAATGGGGAGGGAACAATATTAAGAGGTCAATATAAAACTGGAATTGTTATTTTGGAAGTAATGTGCAATTCAATACGGGTAAGTGGAATAATACTGGGAATGAGATATTAAAGAAACACAACAGTCAGGGCCGCATTTGCCATAAGGCCACGGTCTCTGAGTGCCAGATAGAAATATTAAAGTACTCCCTCACTTGCCAATCCATTCCCTTGCAGTGGGGCCAAAATGAGAGGAAGATCTTCCCGGCCCTTTTTGACCTCCCTTACCGACCCACATCTATTGCATGAGAGCATTGCTGCAGGTTACCACAACAATGCTCTGATACATTTCACAGCGACGGCTGGAAGGAGCTGTCTGCAGCAACAGGGGGTGCAGAGAGCAACATCTTTCACTGGAAAACAGGGATCAGGATTCTCCCCTCCCCAGGCCCGTCGCGACAAGGCAAGCAAACCAAGCAATTGCTTGGGGCCCCACTATAACCCCATCACCGCATTACAACTATTATCATCCACACCACAGCCTCTATTCCCCACTACTGTCACTATCTCCTCACTACTGCCACTTTCCCCCAACTGTAGCCATTATCCTCCCATCACTGCCACTATCCACCACCCACGGTAGCCATTAGGTCCCCACTATAGCTCCTATCCCCCAACTAAAGCCCATATCACTCCACTAAAGCCCCTATCCCCCACTACAGCCTCTATCCTCCACTACATACGCTATCTGCCACTACAGTCCCTATCACCCAATACAGCCCCTATAACCCTCTACACCCTCTCTCCTTTCTGTAGTCTTTAACACCCACTACAGCCCCTATCCTCCTACTATAGCCACTATCCCCACACTATAGCTCCTTTCCAACCCACCACAAATCCTATTGCCAACACTATAGCACCTTTCTCCCCCTCAACACACACACACACAACAGCCCCTTTAACCTGCAAACACTAGGGTTAAACATAATCAATAGCAGTCCCAGTTTCTCCACATACACTCTGCAGCCCCAATTTTCTTCCCAAACCCAGACACTATAGCATTTATCCACCAAATGCACTCTGCTGCCTCCATACACCAATATACACCCTACTGCCCTTATTCCCCAAAACACACCCTAAACTCCTATGCTCAACAACACACACAACAACCCCACCCTTCATACAGCGCCTATTTACATGCATACACATACAACACCGCAAACAGACCTACCAACATGCACAACTCCACAGCAGCCTCACTCCCACACATGTAACCCAAAAAGCATCATTATCTCATCACCCACAACCACACAAGCATCCTCACTCCACATACACAACCTCACAAGCAGAATTCACATACTTGTACACAATCTCACAAGCAGCATCCTCACACATGTACACAACCCCATAAGCAGCATCTCTAGAAACAAGCAACACCACAAGTAGCCCCCTCTCAAAAATACAAAACATCAAGCAACCACCCACACTCGCACAACACCACCAACAGCTTCCACACAAACATTTAACATTAGTGATGTCCCGAACGGTTCGCCGAACGGTTTGCAAACAGTTCACCACGGTTCGCCACGAACGGTTCGCCAGTCAGCAGACACATTCCAGCCAATCAGCAGCAGACCCTCCCTCCTAGACCCTCCCACCTCCTGGACAGCATCCATTTTGAAGCTGCATTCTTAGTGAGCTGTCCATGAGGGTCTGGGAGGGAGGGTCTGCTGCTGTTTGGCTGGAATGTGTCTGCTGACTGGAGTCCGTGGTGAACCGTTCGTGATGAACCGTTCGGCGAACCGTTCAGGACATCACTATTTAACATCATAAGCAGCTTCCTGCCAAAAACGCAACACCACAAGCAGCCTCCACACGTTAAGGAAACTCGTTTGGGGCAGCTAGGAGTGTAAATCCGGCTCTGACAATAAAAACTGTATTCCTAACACCATAGGGTCCCTCAGTCCCCCTCCCTTGCGGCCCCACCAGCAACAAATAAAGGGTTAATAACTTTTTTTCACGTCCCTGATTCCAGTTTCGCTGTCCCTGGGTGCTGCATCTGGCTTTTTCTTTTCCGGCATCACAACAATTCTGGAACATAACACATGGGTAGCGAGTGCCGAGGATTGAATCAATGCTTTCCTGTGGGGGATTTGAAGACATTGGACATCCTCATTCGTAGTGAGAAACTGCAGAAAGCACCTCTAGTGGGTGCCTAGTAGACAGTCACTAGAGGCAGTCTTAACCCTGCAATGTAAACATTGCAGTTTATCTGAAAGGGGACCCGGGACACTGCAACCAGATCAATTCAATGAGATGAAGTGGTCTAGGTGACTGTAGTGTCCCTTTAATAGACATTTGGAGGGCTCCTGGGAAAACAAGCAACAGAAGGAAGGCTTGCAGTTAGTAAACAAAGAACTGGATAAACAAGAAAGAGAGTGGGTAACATATAAAACTATTTGAGAAAATAAGACAGCATTAGGAAAGTGGGCCAAATCTGAAGAATAAGCTGTGCTGCCATAACTATAGAGCGATATTCACATATTCAAGGTGTTCATTGAACAACAAATAACACGTTGAAAACTAAAACTGAACAACATTGAGACTAGAACAATCAATCTCATACCTTCCAACAATTTAAATTGACAAAGAGGAACACTTTAATTTCAGGGGATGAGTGGAGGTGTGGCCAGGGGTGGGGGCTTTTCTGAGATATTTTATGTGACTTACTAATGACAATGTATGCAACTAAAATGTAATTTAGAACAATAACAATGTAACTTATTTACAAAGATTGATTTCTAAACATAATTATTATAGTTTAACCCCTTAAGGACTGGACTGTTTTTGCGATGTTGTACATTTGCGACCAGGCATATTTTTACACTTTTGTGGTGTTTGTGTTTGGCTGGAATTTTCCGCTCTCTCATTTACTGTTCCCATACAAATTATATATTGTTTTTTTCAGGACAAAAGGGGCTTTCTTTACATACCATTATTTATATAATCTCATGTATTTTAATTTAAAAAAAATAAAAAAATATAATGAAAAATTGACTTTTACTTGAAAAATCTTTTACTCATCTACAAAAGCGAATTAAAAAAACTGCTAAATAGATTCAAAATTTTGTCCTGAGTTTAAAAATACCACGTGTTTACATGCTTTTTTGCTTTTTTTTTGCATGTTATAGGGCTATAGGTACAAGTAGAATATTGCGGTTTCAAAACATAAATTTTTTAAATTTATCAATAGTGACATTGTAACACTATTATCTGTCATAAATCTCTGAATAACACCCCACATGTACATATTTTTTTTAAAGTAGACGACCCAGGGTATTCAATATGGGGTATGTCCAGTCTTTTTTAGTAGCCACTTAGTCAAAAACACTGGCCAAAGTAAGCATTCATATTTGTTTGTGTGTGAAAAAAGTAAAAAAACTAAATTGAACGCTAATTTTGGCCAGTGTTTTTGACCAAGTGGTTACTAAAAAAGACTGGACATACCCCATTTGCAATACCTTGGGTTGTTTTCTTTTGCAAATGGTATGCCATCATGGGGGTAATTCTCATTCCTGGGCTACCATACGCTCTCAAAGGCAACGTAACCAACCTGGCCATTTTCAATGTAAAAATATTTGACCCATATAGTTGACCTTGTAACTTTCAAAAATGCTATAAAACCTGTACATGGGGGGTACTGTTTTACTCGGGAGACATCGCTGAACACAAATATTAGTGTTTAAAAACTGAAAAACGTATCACAACAATTATATCATCAGTAAAAGTGCTGTTTGTGTGTGAAAAATGCAAAAAAAGTCACTTTCACTGACAATATCATCGCTGTGATATGTTTTACCGTTTTGAATCACTAATATTTGTGTTCAGCGAAGTCTCCCGAGTAAAACAGTACCCCCCATGTACAGGTTTTAGGGTGTCGTAGAACGTTACAGGGTAAAATACAGTGCTAGCAAATTCAATTCTCTGGAATTTCGGCCTGGGTTGGCAGGCAGGTCCCTTAAATTGCAATCAATAAAATTACTGAATTATGTAAAACTATTACATAAATACGCATGTAGAATTTAAATATATATGCATATTTATATATTTGAAGTCTACGTGTATATTTATATAATTATTTATGCAATTTTGTATATGGACATATGTATATTTCGTATTATTTTTATTTATTTATATATACATAGATATATATACAAATTCATTCTAAGTGTATTTTGATATAAATATATATATATTAATTTTAAAATACAGTTAGAATAAAATTTCATATAGATATATAATTTTTTTTAATTTTTTTATTATTATTTTAAATTTTTTTTATTTAATTTAAATTACTTATTATTTATATTTTATAATAATATATATATATACACAATATATATAGTTATTATATATATTTTATATATATACGTGCGTAATTTAATTATAAGTGTATTTTTATATTAATATAAGTACATATTAATATAAAAATACACTTAGTATGACATTATATATATGATAGATAGACATATATTATATATATAGATAGACATATATTATATATATATAATATATGTCTATATATCATATATGTATACACATATATAATTTTTTTTTTTATTAACACTAACTTTATTTTTTTTTTTGATTTTACACTAGCAGGGAGACTGCCTGTCAGCACAGACAGTCCCCCTGCAGGCAGCACTATGGACACCTATTGTGACCATGTGATCGCTGTGTTAAGCGATCACATGGCCACAGGGGTTCTAAATCAGTGTGGGGAGACTGTCTGGGCTGCAGGCAGTCTCCCCACAACCGGAGCCACGCTGATCGCCGCCGGGGGAACGATGGCGATCAGGTAAGTACCCCCAGACCGTTAGGACGGTTCAGGACCGTCATCGGTCCTCAAGGCAAAAATGCCGATGACGGTCCTGAACCGTCCTCGGTCGCTAAGGGGTTAAAGACACATTACTGTGAACATGATTGTGTTATACATTTAGAAACACCAATAATATGGAGCTCCTAGAAAAGAGGGCCATTAGGATGGAAAGGAGGGGAAGATGGATTTGGGTCCAAAATATCAAGTGTCCCTCCTAAATAGGGTCACTTGGGAGAAATGCATTCTAACAATTGGTGAGTCAGAGAATGTTTCCAAATCAGCTATTTTGTTTTGTAATTCATTTCAGTTCAGTTATGCTTATTTTACATGTTGTTTTTTTTAATCACAAAAGTACTTTATTTAGTACATAACAAAAACTGGGCAGTCAATCATTGTGCAGCGTGGACATGGTACTGTTTATAAAGGGGAAGAATTTGCAACTACCTATTAAAAAGTCTTTGAAATATCAATAGAGGGCTGCCATCTGAAATGCTGGAACCCTTTACACAGACCCAGGTCTGTGGATGCTGAGAGTATGTGTGTAGTGGACGCAGTGTGTGTAGTGGATGAAGAGTCGGTTTATATTGGATGAAGTCGCTGTGTGTGTACAGTGTGTGGATGGCCGATTCTAGTGTCTCAGACACCTGGGTGCAGATTTTTTGGGCAAAGCCATGTGGTCGTGGTCATCTTACTCTACTCCCCTTTGCAAATGTCCAGATATGCATGCTTCTATGGCAACAACTCCATCTCTACATCTATAAGATCCACCCATTTTTGTAATCAAACACACAATCAGTGGTGTATCCTGGTTTTGTGCTGCCCTAGGCAGGACAAAACTCAGGCGCCCTCCCCCGCCACCCCCACCCAACCCCTTCCCCCACCTTCTAAATACACACACACACACACAGTCAGACACAAACACACACACACACACACAGTCAGACACATACACAAACACACACACACACACAGTCAGACACATACACAAACACACACACACACACACAGTCAGACACAGACACAGTCAGACACAACACACACACACACACAGTCAGACACACACACACAGTCAGACACAACACACACACACAGTCACACACACACAGTCAGACACAAACACAGTCAGACACAAACACACACACACACATCAGACACAAACACACACACAGTCAGGCACAAACACACACACACAGACACAAACACACACATTAACTTTTTTTAAATTTAAATCCCCCCCCAACCTCCTTACCTTTGGGAGTGCTGGGGGGGGGGGTCTCTCTCCCTGGTGGTCCAGTGGCTGCAGGGCGGGCGGCGCTGGCAGGCTGGCAGGCGGGCGGCCGGCGAGGGAGCACTTCCCATGAGCTGACTGCTCAGCTCCCTCGCGCGTCGGCTGCAGAGTGAGGCTGGGAACCGGAAGATGACGTCATCTTCCGGCTCCCAGCCTCACTTTGCGGTGCGCGAGGGAGCTGAGCAGTCAGCTCATGGGAAGTGCTCCCTCGCCGGCCGCCCGCCTGCCAGCGCCGCCCGCTCGGGATGTCAGTTAGCCGCGAGGCTAACTAGGCATTTGCCCTGGGCATTTGGGGGGCGGCGTTTTTTGCCGCCCCCTGAAAAATGCCGCCCAAGGCAAATGCCTTGTTTGCCTCGCGGCTAAAACGCCCCTGCACACAATCACTGGCAGTCACACACTCTCACTGAGAGACACACACTGACAGATGCACACATAGACAGACACACTCACTGACAGACACACACAAAGACAGATACACATTCACTGACAAACACACTGACACATACTCTCAATGACAAACACACAATCTCACTGATTTGTAGCACACTCACTGACAGACACTCTCAATAACAGACACACAATCTCACTGATTTGTAGCACACTCATTACAATATACACTCCTAGACTCTATCACTCACACCTTTACCTGCCCCCCACTGCCACCGGACCCCCAGCAGTGATGATACCATCAGGAGGCTTCACGAATTGGGCAAAGTCCCCAAACAGTGACAGTATCGCTTTAATTACATCTTTGCCACAAATGGTCAACTTGTTGTCTGATTATAAATTGCAGAGACATGTTGTGAATGCTATGGAAATTATTGAATTGGGATAGTTATAAAGCAACAAATACTACTGGCAAAGTTCAAAGCAGATTTGCAGGGCTATTTACTATAGTGAGAATGTAAAGTTAATTCAATGTGAATTTCAATATAATTTCCAAATCCCTCTCAGTTCGGCTAATCGGGCATTCAGAATCAAGCTCATCAGCACCAACAAAACAGGCCTGCGGAGTTCCACAAGGATCCATCTTGTCTCCCATGCATTTTGCAATTTACTTGTTACCACTCGGGGACATCATTAGGCGACATGGCCTAAGGTATCATTGTTACACTGATGACACACAACTCTACTTCTCCTTTGCTGCAGATACCACAGACCGAACATGCTGCAACAACAGTTGCTTAGCAGACCTCATAGAATGGATGAATGTTAGTTGGCTTAAAGTGAACCCGGACAAAACAGAGTTACTTTTGGTCAGGGGACCCTGGGCAACAAAAATATCCCATGATTACCAACGACTTGGAGCTTGGAGGCTCTGAATTCATCAGTTTATCAAAAGTACGAAACCTCTGAGTGCTGATTGACTCTGGACTATTTAAACAGCAGATTTCCTCTGTAATAAAATCTGCCTACTTTCATCTGAAAAACATAGCCAGGATACAACACTTAATTCCAATGTTATGCCAACATTAATCCATGCATTTGTATCCTCTCGGCTAGATTACTGCAATGTACTTTACTTGGGCCTCCCAGAAAAATAACTCCATCGCCTTCAGACTGTACAAAATACAGCAGCCAGATAATTGACCAATCAAACTCGCTCCTGCCACATAACACCTGTTCTTCACTCCCTGCATTGGCTTCCAATTAAATGGCAGATTTGACATATTTTAAAATTGGCCTGCTAACCTTCAAAGCCTTAAACAATCAAGGCCCACAGTACCTGAAAGAGCGCATGACACCCTACATTTCATCCGGTTCACTTCGGTCAGCCAGCAAATCCTTCCTGTCAGTGTCAAGAATAAAGACAGACTCAGGTTTCAGGGCATTCAGCCACGCTGCCCCTACTTTCTGGAACTCTTTACCGTGCGCAATCAGAGAGGCACCGTCTTTAAAAAAACTCTTAAAAAAAAAGCTAAAGACCCACCTCTTCCATCATGCATTCAGTCTCAGTCCGCTCAGCTGACCTTCAGAAACTCCTAACTTTTATGTCTTTATGTTTGTATACTTGTAAAGTGCTTTGAGTCTCACAGGGAGAAAAGCTCTATAAAAATAGCAAATTATTATTATATTATTATTATTTAATTTGAAATTCAATTTAAATTCTCACTTTAGTAAATAACTGTTGGAATTTTCTCTTCGCCTATTTTTGTGTATAATTAGCTCTTTGCAAAATGAGTTTATAGGATGATTTATAGGTAGCAGCATTGACATGAATACAGGACATAAATACTTTGATTTAAACATTTTAACCTAGTATGTGTTCCTGGGTATTATAAGTCACCTTTATCTGTTTCTTCGTTTTCTAGATAAGTAACAAATATGGGAAGTCCCGGCATTAAAAAGACCTTATTTGCTTTTCTCTGTGCCCTGATGTTCATTCAACATACTCAAGGTCTGTAGGCATTCCTTTTCATGATAACATGTTAATGCTGTTATAGAAATGACTGGCTTTATGAATAAGAACATTTTGATTTATATTAAGAAGTAGAAAGATCCAAATATTTGATGATGTCCTGACTTTCTTACTTCTGCATGTTTCACAAAAACCAAAATCAAAGCAAAATGCACAGTTGGCTGAATATCAAGGGAAATCTGACAAGCTGGTATCTTCAACTGAGATGTGTCTCCACAATGGGTAGTGAGTCAGAGACTGCCTTTCCCTTACATTATCTTTCGGTGGTTAGAGAAATGCCATAGGAGGTGGCCCAACAATCCTTTGGGTGTTGTTCATTAAAGGGAATGTGAACACCAAATTGCAAATGTTAGGACAAAATAACTGGGGTTAATATAAGCATCATTACCATTTGTAGTGGTTATGATGTTCGGAGCACCCTGGCAACATTTCCAAGTATTGAGGCAAAACGTTTTGCAATGGTTTGCACTCTTACATGAAGAGCCACCTGTAATGGCAGCTGCAAACAGCAGAAGCCAGATGCCAAACACCAATCCTGATGCTCATTCATTGGCTAAGAGTACCAGCTAAAAGCATTCAACCAATGAATGAGTGTCTGTGCAAAGAAATATGACCAAAATATTTTTTTTCCAGGCTGGCTAATGACGCTGCAGTAGGTGAAGTTACACCTCTGGCAGGTAGAATAAATATCCCCATTGTGCAGCATTTCAAGCTGAAACACATACAGACTCTAAGCACCATTACCACTTCAAAACACTGAACCTCCAGCAGTTTTGTGGCACCTGTTCCACAGTCCCAGGTCAGTTCCCTGGCATCCTGCATTCATGGATATCAGGGAATAGTCTACACTTCCCAGCAAGCATAGGTTAAGCACATCATTAGACATACTTGAGCTGTACTCAGGGTAGGGCTGGCAGCCTTAGGCCTGGAGGGCAGATCCAGTCAAGTGGCTAATTGCACCACCAAATCAGCTCACCATCCATGCCCACCCTTTCCTGGGTTTATAACGGATATTGATGTTATGCTAATCAGTAGCTCTTTGCCATACCCAATCTGCGGCGCCATTATGCAGCAGCACTCTGACCTTTTCAGAATCTGGTTTCTGCTGGGGGACCTGAAGATCTAGGATAGGTTTTAACCCATTAAGGTAATAGAGTGCCCGGGGGCCTACTGGCACCATAACAACTTAATTTATATTAAATTGTTATGGTAAACAGTGTTCCTTTAAAAATAACCAATATGTCTATGTTACGAACACTGGTATAGTAGATACCCTGTTCGCCTATTCCTCCAGAACTGCTGAGCCTGTGTGATTATAGCTGCAGTTCGGGTGTAAAGTCAAATAGTTCCAGACGAATGCAGCATCCAAGTAGTTTCTCCTCAGCAAATAGACACTTACCCAAACATGAGCCTAGACTTCATGAAAGGTACAACAGGAATGAATTTTAATGGTGCAACACTGGCTTTTATGCAAGTCCCCATGCAAGGGGCACTCCCACATGGACCTTGTGGGGGACAGGGACACAAAGGTTACAGTCAATAATATTACAGTGACAAAGTTTGACACTCCCAATACAAACAGACAATCCCCTCCTCTCTGTCTGTGAGATAATTGAGTCAGCTATATTAATAAATCAATTATCTCCAGGCAGTAAAAACATATTTTCCCCAAAATGTAGAAAGTACCCTAAAACACATAGCATCCCCTGATAGCGCTGATCTGGGTGACCAACATATCCAAAAATCACCCAGACCAGTTCAGGGGTTTTCAAATTTTATGGAAGTCCCATTTGTACCGACCGCACACGAGGCTCCTGCCCAGAAACAGTTCCATGAGTTTAGGCTGTGCGGTCGGTCTATTTCGAAAAGTCATAAAACCGAACAAATGCATGAACCTTTGCTCTCCTTCTGTTCTTCTCTCCTTTCCTTCTCCTCTCCATTTGCTCTGCTCTGCTCTCCCTTTGCTCTCCTTCTGCTCTGCTCTCCTCTACTTCTCCTCTCCTTTTGCTCTGCTCTCCTCTCCTTCTGCTGTCCTTTCCTTTCCTTCAGCTAGTCTCCTTCTCTCTTTTTCTTCTTTTCTCCTTCTTCTGGGCATGGCAGGCGAGGGAATGCAGGGAGGGGTTGCGTTGTGGCGTGACGTCATCAGCGTCACAGCATGATTTGCAGTTAGCTGGTAATCAGCACTATCCGCGTAGCAACAAGACGCGTATTGGCCAATGGGAAAGGAAGCCGTTGGTAAGTTAATATTGGTGAAGCACTGCAGCTCTCTGATTACATGGTTTAGGTGGCCGCGAGGCCCCTTTTAACACAAGGCCTTATGCGGCTGCCTAAATTGCCTAATTAGTGAGCCGCCTCTGCCAAAGAGATCCTGTCTCTGTCTCCGTGGCAGGCAAGCAGGCAGAGACAGCGGGCATTTTGAACATGATTTAGGGCAGCCTGGGGGGCATTTGATTCCCTGCCCCCCATCCCAGTCCGCCCCTGGTGGTACTGAGGGCACTATGACCATGCAGAGTTCTTCAATAGTGCTCTCTGCATGGTCTTCCCTCTGTGGAACCAGCTGCAAGGCTGTGAGTCAGCTTGCTGTGCATCCATGACATGCCCATTATTTGTTGCAGGCATGCCACTTTAGTCTGCCAACTCATTGTCCTGAATTTATACCCCTCAATGTTGGAAAGTATATATGTTCAATTAAATACACAAGGTTTTCAACTATGTCCAACTGCCCTCAGTTTTAATAGATGCGGCGATGTCTGATGTCACCGTGGCTCTCTAACCTTCCAAGTCCTGTTATCAATTAGCACACTGTCTTTATGTAGGTTCAGCCTTGCTGGATTCCCTGAATTGTGTTAATGACTACACATCTCAATGGAGGTGTCAATGGAAGGAAAGCAGAGCATCACAAGCAATTATCCCAATGAACCTCTACTACTGGAGAAACAACAACAGGTCAGTCTATGCTGAGTCAGCACCGACGGTCAGGTGCGGGATTGACATTTAGACATCCAAAGGGAGGGGAAAGAAAGGTGTAGTCTGACACTTAAATCATTACCATGTACAAATATTTTTTGAAGACATGATTCGATTTTCTGAGATCCTAATTATAAAATCAGTTCCACTAGATGTCTACCTTTACTGATAGACGCATTCCAATGAGGAACAGAGTAAGAAAGAACATACCAGTAAACAAAAGTCTATAGAGATAAAATAGATTGGTAATATAGATTGATGGATGGACAGACTGATAGGCAGATGGATGGATGGACAGATTGATGGATGGACAGATAGAAAGAAGAGAGAAGCGGGGAAGAATTGTCTACAAACTTCTGATGGCATGCTCTTTTGTTAGTGATACGAAGGAGCTCTGTATTATCTCTGAGACCAAACAAGATGCGGGCCCCAACCTGAGTCAAAACTGCCATATAAATTCTACATTTTCTTTCCGTATGAAGGACAGCTACAGTTTTCTTCCAGAAAGAATCATACAGAAGGAAGCCACCATCATACCAGCCTATAGGGGTGAGTGGTAACAGATTGTATTTAAAATAATGGATCTCCAAGGGATGACATACAAATAGGGAAGTACAAGCCAATAAAATGAGAATTGTGAAAAAACATAGAGATACAATTTGTATACAGATAAAATGAAAATGATTGAAGAGAATGTATATTGATGGTAAAAAGTGCTCTTTGAAATGGGAATAAGATATATGAACTGTGTAAATGTTTATGTAACATTTTTGGAGGTCGTGACTGTGTCACATGTAGAAAACAGAATGAGGGGAAAGTACCTGAGATTGTTTTCAGGGTTGTGTATGAAATGAGAAATGCCAAATAGAAAAGAACATATGGAAAAGAACATAACACTTTTCTTTCAAAATATATATTGCATTAAATATCAAATGCTTATTATTTGATGTGATTATTGTTAAATTATTAATTAATGTTGTAGAATAGATTTTAAGTTATGTTTGTCTTCTCCAATTTATTACATTTCTCCAGTAAGAACTTCACCCCCGGAAGGACTAAGACTCCAAATGATTAACAATGGGTCGATCATTCTGAGTTGGAAGAGTCCTCTTTACTTGGATCCAAGCCTATCTCTGCTCTACCAGATATCATATCATAGGCATGGCTGGGAGAAATTGGAGGTATAGTGAAACCCACCATTATTATCATGGTGGAACTTCTACTTAATAATATTCTTGAGTCACATGCCTTAAATAAAGGGGTTTATTTACTAGAAGGTGAGCTAGCAGGAGTGTATAGAATACAGTACGCCCAGGTACCTCACCTTTGAAGGTGGATTTATTCTGCCTGCTTCTTTGTGTGTTTTCTTTAACGTCATACACCCAACTAGCTAGTTAACCGTGTGCATAGCTTTCACATGAATCCACCTTATCTCTCTCACCAGCCCCTCTCCTAAGCTCCCATTTTATTACATGCCCTCTGTCATATACTCTCAGTCTGTTACATACCATCGTTCAATCACATTCACCTAGATGTACACTCTGACACCCCGCACAGTCACATACAGCCATCCAACTAGTTACATTCACAACCCCAACTGAAATATGTATATTTACCAACACATTCGCTCACCCAGTAATATGCCTACCCATAGTCTCAGTAACCCACTCTGTCACATCTTACCCATAATCCACTCCTAGCCATCTAGTCACCTACACCTACCATCACACCCAGTCATATAGCTCCATGTACCTAGCAACCTGTATGTATCTATCAAAGGAGTCACATTCACACACCCACTACCCATTTCCTACAGGCCCTCATAGATACATTATATACAAAAACATTTCATTAATGTCAACAGTTTTATGGTTAATCATGACCACATTCCCCTAGATTCATTCCCCTATGTTTTCTATCATGTATTTTATTATGAAAGGGGTAGGACATATACAAAGAGACAACCTCATAAGAGGGAAAGAGATGTGGAAAAAGAAGGGCAATTTAGCTACATCCTTATCAGCTCTCCAGTGTCATTGGAAGATTGTACAAAATGGACACTAATAAGGCAGAAGTGTTACTTCACATTATCAATGCAGCTCTGAGATGGGAGTAGCCCCTCAGTGTCACTTTAATATCTCAATTTGCAGTACATGCACTTCATGCATTGCCACCATTTATTGCAAAAGTGAATTGGAATTCAGAAAATGCTGTATTATAAGTTATTATTACATGGTTTATATTTGGGAAATTTAACAGAAAATTAGCTGTTTCCAGAATCCCTCAATTTAAACCCAGTTTTAATAAAAGTACTGTAGGCAGTACAGTACCTTTTAAACCTGGAATTTGGTCTCAAAACCATTATCAGTGGGTTGCCATTTGTCACTACAGCCAAATACTATGGAGAATAATTACACATTAATTTAAGTGTAGTTTTTTAAATGTAAATAAAGACACATTTGGAGACATTTTCTATTAATTCCATTGTACTTAGTCATGGTTCTAACAGGAAAGCTATATAGTTTCTTATTTTTCCTATTTCCATAATTTTAATAAACCCACGCTGTAATAAGTCTTACTGGGCAGCAGATCATATAATTAAATTCCCCAAACGATCTTCAATGGTAACACAGATTCTTATAATATTGATCAGTTGCATAATCACAGTCTATCTTACTATACAGGATGCTATTTCACTTAATGTTGTGGATGAGTTGGAAACCAGTCTCAGCCTCTCGGATCTACTACCTGGAAACACCTATCTGTTCCGTATACGTACCCGGCCCCAAGAAGGACAACACTACAAGGGATCTTGGAGCAAGTGGAGCAAAGAACTTGCCTGGGACGTGCCTGAAGGTAGCGAATGATAAAATGTATGAGATTCACTCATTGGACAGAGATTGCCAGTTTAGGAGGCAAAATGTTACCAGATAGTAATTAATGATGTAAAATCACACTTAATGAATATTTTACATGTATTTTTGACCTTAATGAAAATTGTCTCCCATTCAGAATGTTAATGTTTTCTTATTGACAGACGATAAGGCAGCACCTCGAAATCTGCAGTGTGAATACGATGGTATCAATACGATGATCTGTAGCTGGGAGGTGAGAAGAGAGGTCAATTTATCATTCTCCTACGTGTTGTATTACACTGAATATTCTGATCAGACATCTGGTGCCACCAACATGACATCTGCTACTGAGTAAGTTACACAAAAGACTTTTGCAAAAAAAGAAAAATAATAATAATAATATCAAATTATTTCGCTAACCAATTAATGTCTCTCCTCTGATACATTCTTAATTTTGCCTTCATTCATCCTTATTATACTCACATAATATTTACAGACTACGTCAACCGTCATACTACATGCAACCTATTTCAACCTGGAACAAAATGTACTCTTACTTTACATGTTATGTATATATCTGTATCCCATCTCCTTTAGATTGTAAGCTTGTTTGAACAGAGTCCTCATTATCTTTTGTTCCTGTAAGTAAAACTTGTAAGTCAAACTTATTTGTCTGACTTGTGATGCCATTGTACAATATTGCAGTACACTTTGGCGTTTTTTTAAATAATAATAATAATAATAATTATTATTTTTGTTATTAAACCTGGAAATATGCATTTAGTTTTTCATTGATTTTGATGTTGTTGGTTATAGATGTTATAACCCAGTTTAAACTTGCTTAACCCCTTAAGGACCAAACTTCTGGAATAAAAGGGAATTATGACATGTCACACATGTCATGTGTCTTTAAGGGGTTAAACTTCAAATCGGAAACAACTAGAGGGGTGGATTTAGAAGACAAAAACACCCAGGACTTCTCAAACGAGCATTATATTAGTTACAAACTTTGTTTTCATTATTTTAGTTAGTTTATAGGAAATGCAAGCTTTTTTTTTTTCTGGGAGTAAGGTGTTTTAGCGTCCCAGGATTACTACATACTTGTCAGGCATTGTCCACTTTATTGATTTAATTTATTTGGCACAAATTTCCTTGTTTCTTATGCGATTTCTCATGCTTTCATTAACGTTGTCTGTATAACATAATCACTTTATTAAACCCTTAAGGAGTACCTAGTTCATTTAAAAGCCATGTTCTATAATGAACCACCTACCTCCCAATTAACTTCTATCGGTCTTGCACATCAGCCACTAATATATGCTTGTTGCTATATAAATATATATTTTTTAAATTATTGGCAATGTTTGAATTTATGGAATGTTGCCATATATAAATAAATGCATGTCTTTAATCAGGAATATTCTGTGTTTTTCAGTTAGCCTTTGATAGCCAAATTTACACATGTTACATTATACATGTTAGCCAACTGCCCTTACCAAACCAAGTTACTAATGCCCTAATCGCTGCTAAATATACAAGTCATCACTATCTCTCAATTTTCCTCTACTACTCTGCTGCCTTTGATACTGTTAACCACAGTCATGGACTCTGTGACATTGTACTTCCCTGGCTTTCATCCTATCTTTACAAATGCTCATTTAGTGTCCCCTTCACTGGTGCTACCTCCTTCCCATTGTCTGTCTCGGTTGGTGTTCACCAAGGCTGTGAGTTTGGTTTTACTCCGCCCCTATCTGTAACCTTATTAACTTTTTTGGATTTCATTACCATCTGTACGCTGATGATACTCATATTACCTCTCCCCACCTGACCTCTCTCATGCCTTTCTGGAACACATCACAAACTTCCTGAATGTCTTACTCTTTTCTAAAATACAATTTTTGGAAAACTGAACATCTTATCTTCCGTTACTCAAATGATCCTTTTGCTACGTTTGACTCAGGTCTTACCTTTTCTCCTCACATCCAGTCTGTCTCCAAATCCTGTAACATCCACCTTAAAAAAATGGTCCGCATTCACCCTTTTTTATTCAATATACAACTAAGGCACTTGTTCATGCACATATCATTTCCTGACCGGACTCTTGCGACACACTACTTATCACCTTTCCAAATACCCGCAGTGTCCCTCTTCAGTCTGAAATTAGGCTCATCATCCTGACTGACCACTACTCCCACACTTCATCCCATTGCCAATCATTACATTGGCTTCCTGTAACCTTCAAGGTCCATTTCAAACTGCTAACACTAACCTACAAAGCCCTCACTAACTCCACTCCTCACTACATTTCCTCTTTACTCAACAAATACACATCTCCTCATTCCCTTCACTCCTTGAGCGATCTTTTCCTGACATCTGTTCTTTTCCGCACTATCAGGTTTTTCAACGACTCTATGCCTTTGAAATGTCCTACATCACACTCTACCTTATTCTTCAATCCTTCAAGAAGTCACCGAAAACATACCACTATAGGAAAGCTTACCATCTTCCTGGGTGACGCTTCTGATTTCACTGCCCTCAGTACCCCCCGCCTCCATAGCCTAGCTGATTCTCTCTCCTTCCACTGTTATTTTGCTCCACACACCACTTTTACTAACTTATTTCAACATAGGCATCATATCCATCAGTCCCTCCTCCCCTCTGACATGTGGTTATTTCTCTTGTGTGTCTTTACCCCATCTTCATAGATTGTAAGCTTGTTTGAGCAGGGCCTTCTTCACCTCTTGTCTCTGTTCATATTTTGTATTTTAATAACTTGTTATCAAATTCTTCCTTTTTATAATTGCAAAATGCTGTGGAAAATGCTGGCATTATATAAACGCTAAACATTATCTCTGAAATGCTAGTGCATGACATAATTAAATATGTGTAGGTGGGTCAATTATAAATAAACACAAGTCATCACCAACATCACCCAGGCATGCCTATGTTTTTCCATTCTATCCATGATCTTTAGCAATACCTTTCTAAATTTAACTAACATATAATTAGCTTTTCACCTGTTGATCACCAACAATTACCAGCAACTGCTTTACAATCAATATCTTGTTTTATCCTGTATAGGGAGAAGAAATGCCTTAATCTAAACAGTTCTTCTGTCACTGAAGCTCCATATGTACGTTATTACTGTGCTTTTAATGTACCACGGAACCAGGCTAAAAACTCCTTCAGCCTCCAAATCAGACCACAGGAGCAAAAGAAGACTTTCAACCATTCTCAGACTAGTAAGTGGCTCATAAGTAAAACTGTCGAGTTAATTAATTAACAACTTATTATATTCACTCACTTTGAAAAAGATGCACAAGTGCAAATATGGCTTATTCACTAAAGTCAGAATTGTTGAGAATTTAAAGTGATCTAACTGGAACCATAGGTGACCTGGGGAATTTATACACCGTACATCTATTTTGGCCTTAAAGGACTACTGCCACCTTTTAATATAATCATTCATCAAATTCTGAAAAGAAATAGAAAAAATACGTATATGTAAAAATAAAATGAGAAAAATGCATCCCTAACTTTAATATAAGACAAGATCCTTCCGCAATATATATATACACATGCACTTTGGGTCGGACAGTGTTTGAAAGCCATCAGTTAGTCTCTATAGTGCAGCCTGCTTCTCTGTAGGGAGTGAAGTGGGGAAGACCACAGAGACTAATAGTTTTTAAAACACTGTCTGGCTGTAGGGCTAAAGGATCCTGTCATATTCGCAGTGTAATGAAGAGTTTTTTAAAACATTTTTACATATACTTCATTTAAAAAAAGATATAAATTTTCTTTCAAAACTTAAAGAAAGGATTATTATATTAAAAATAGTTTTGAAGTGACAGTTGTTTAAATTTTACATTTGCTTTGAATTCATTACTAAACTCTCTTTAGCGAATAGTTCTTTCTTTTTTTTGGTTTCAATTGAAGTTTAGTGGATACTCTCCATTAGAAATAAAGTGGATTCATGTTTTTAAAAGTTCAAGTTCACATTTTTGTTCTACAAATCCATAAAATATTATACTCTATGAATATTTTCTTTTCTTTTTTTTTTTTTATTTAAATTTTTTTTTTTTTTTAACATAGGTAATGCACATATTGGTTTCAACGTATATTTTAACAGTACAGATATGTCATGTAATATTTGCGAAGGTATAGTGATACCGTATAAGGCGTGGGTACAGCGTGTTACATTACTCAAAATATTAAGAGATGATAGTAATTCAACATTGATAGTAGATAATAATATACAATACAGTATAGGTGCATATTGAAACGTAGGACGTTGGTCAGCGGAAGTATGAGTTTCATGGAGTTAGTCAGGTTAGGCTGATCAATGTTACAACGTAAGTATCAAAACACAGTAGCCACTAGTATAAGCTTAAGTAGTAACTGTGAGATATTGCTCGGTTCAGTAGAACGCCATTTGTATTGGTGTAGCCTTGCGGAAGCTTCGGTTCCTTTCTTTCCCCACATCTTACGTCTAACCTTTAAAGCCCTTGTTTGTGCTACTGAGTCCTGAGTCATCCCTGGTGTCAGGACTGTCACTAATAAGTAGTCATCTAGATTCGTCCATGTCAGTTCTCGGTTCCCACTGCGCTCCCGGATGCCCGTGGTCTTGCCCGACGCCATCCCTCCCTCACCCCCCAAACCCTCGCCGTGAGGTTATCATGGTTTATTGTCTAGTGTGGCTCCAGTGTCGTGAATGTATTCCACGGTGCCCAAGTTTTGGTGTATTTCACATAGTTCCCTACTTTAGCCTGCGTTATACCTTCTAATTGTTTCGTGTCTTCCACCCTCTGGATCCATTCTCTGAGCGAGGGGATGGTTGGCTGCTTCCAATATTTGGGAACTAGTTGCGCTGCGGCCATGACCAGGTGATGTAAAAGTGCCGTTTGTAATTTTGATAAGCCCCGGGGGGGCAGGAGGAAGATGTACTGGTCTGGGGCTAATGGGAAATTGGTCTGGAAGATGCTGAGAATGATAGTGTGAATTCTGTTCCAGAATTTCGCTATTTTCGGGCATTGCCACCATATGTGTGCATGATGTGCTCCTGGTTGATCGTATCTCCAGCACTTGTCTGTGGACGTGTTGTGGATCATGCAGATTTTTGCTGGTGTATAGTGCCAACGTGTTAACCGTTTAAAATTACTCTCTTGCGCTGTCAGCGATATGGTGGTATTATGTGCCGCTTTAAGGATGGATTGCCATTGTGGGCGCGTGAACTCTACTCTGAGTTCCTCTGACCACTTAGCTGTATAACTTGGAAGATTAGTTGCCTGTGACTCCCTAATTAGTATGTACATGGTAGATAAAACTTTTCTAGAGAACGGATGGGAGGAGCACAGTTGTTCAAATTTTGTCAGGGGCCTGTCCCCCACGGGTAGTAGGTTGTGCGCCTTGATAAAGTGTTTCAGTTGGTGGTAATGTAATTGTTGTAATACCGTCGGGGTGTCAGTCGGTAGGATGTGGTTCAAAGTTTTAACTTTACTGTCCTGGATAACATCGCACAATTTTAGTGTCGAGCTATTGTGATAGAGCTCGAACGATTTGCCCGAGTCTCCTTGTTGGAAGTGAGGATTATGTGTAATTGGGTATAGCGGGGATGGGACTGGGGAGAGGTCTAAAGTTTGTCTGAGTCTATGCCACATTTTAAGGGTTGTGTCGACTGTCGGGTGGTAGTAATGGAGTCCCTTTCGTGAAGATATAGGGTCAGGGTGGGACCAGGCGCAGATGGATAGTGGGGTTCTGGAGAGAGCGTTCTCCAGGATAGCCCACTGTTGGATTTGTGTGTTTCTTGTCCATTCGTAAACCCTCTGTAGGTGTATTGCCTGATGATAAAGTTCAACATCGGGGAGATTTACTCCTCCTCTTTCCTTACTTCTAGTCACGGTGGCGTGGGCCAAACGTGGTGATAAGTGTGCCCATAAAAATCTCGTGAACATGGACCTGGTCGTGTTGAAGAATGTGCGTGGGATAGCAACAGGAAGAGTCTGTAGGAGATATAGAATTTGAGGAAGGATGTTCATTTTAAGTATATTGATCCTACATAGCCAGCCGAAGCAGGGCTTATGCCATGTCTGGAGGTCTTTAGTAATGACTGCCAAAAGAGGGGGAAAATTCAGTGCATAGATCGACTCTAATTTGTTCGGTATGTGAACCCCTAAGTACTTAATGGACCGCGGCGCCCAGTTGAAATTAAATTTAGACTGTAGTATTGCGTCCATGGTTCTCGCGGTGTGAATTGGTAGAAGGTCGCATTTAGTGAGGTTCGCCTGAAAGTTGGAGACCTTACCATATGTTTCCATCTCCGCTATTACATAGGGTAACGTCGAGAGCGGGTTCGCAATTGTAAACAAAAGGTCATCGGCAAAAGCCGTGACTTTGTACTCCTGTTTGTCAATTTCGAAGCCCTGTATGTTTTTATTGTCTCTAATACCCTGGAGGAACGGTTCCAGGACTAATATGAAGAGAATAGGGGAAAGAGGACACCCTTGTCTCGTCCCATTAGTGATGGTTACTGGTTGTGATAACTGACCATTGACCCTCAGTCTAGCAGTTGGTGTGGAGTAGATGGAGTTTAACCACTCTTGCCAGCGTGGGCCAAAGCCTAATTGCCACATTGTGTGTTGTAAGAGTGCCCAGCTAACTCTATCAAATGCTTTCTCTGCATCGATAGCCAATAGAATACTGTTTATTCTGCGTGATTGAGCCCAATGTACCAGATTAATGATTTTAGTTGTGTTGTGTTGTGTTTTGCTTCCCTATATGGAACAAAACCTGCCTGGTCTTGGTGGATAAGGCCAGGTAAAAGAGGTTTCAGTCTAGTAGCCATGATTTTTGTGAGAATTTTGAGATCCGCGTTTATCAACGAAATGGGTCGGTAACTGCCACAAGACGTAGGGTCTTTTCCCGGTTTAGGTATTAGAGTAATGGTCGCCTCTAGTGCTGACTTGGGTATACTAGTTGACAGTTTATGGGCATTAAATGCGTTAATAAAGGGCTGTGCTAGGGTTTGAGCCATTAATTTGTAGTATTTCCCAGTGAAGCCGTCCGGGCCTGGGCTTTTACCTAAAGGGATAGTCTTAACTACCTGTTGGAATTCTTCAATCGTGATGGGTTCATCAAGGAAAGCCTTGTCTATGGGTGGCAGAGTACATTTAATTCTGGGCGTCAAGAAGTCTAATATGTCTTGTGTGGTTGGTTGGGTGGATTTCAGGTTATATAGATGAGTATACAATTTATGGAATGCTTTAAATATGTCTGGCATGTTACAGGATATATTACCGTCCTCGGATCTAATTTCAGAGATGAAGCTGGATTGTCTATCTACCTGTAGTGCTTGTGCAAGGAGTTTCCCCGCCTTACCTCCCTGCGTGTAGTAGGAGCCCTTAGTGAGCGAGAGTTTACGTTTTGCATGCAGCGTCAGAAGCGAGTTCTGAATGTTTAGTGAGTAGTAGATTATAATTTTCTAAGGAAGAAGCACCCTGGTGTACATTTTCCAAGACTTTAATGTCCTTAGTGAGTTGGGTGATTGTTTGTTCCCTCTTACGTTTTAGTGTCGATGCTATCCGAATTAATTCACCTCTAAGGACTGCCTTATGGGCCTCCCACGTCATGATCGGAGTCGTGTCTGGATTAGCATTTTCTCTAAAGTAATTTGTGGCAGTGTCTTTTATTTGGTTGATTGCTTCTGTACTATTTAGTATCAAGTCATTGAGTTTCCATTGAGCAGTGGGATTAGGGATTGAAGGGATGGTCAGCCTAAATGTGAGTGGTGCGTGGTCTCACCACGTGATAGGACCATAAGAAGCCGTGGTAATCAGGGGAAGATGTCTATGGTGGAGGAAAATTGTGTCTATACGTGAGTAAGTGCCTGTGGGTGGCGAGAAGAATGAATAGTCTTTCTTCGTAGGGTTGACCGCTCTCCAGCTGTCATATAGTTGGGCATTATACAGAATGTTTTTCATTTGCAGTCTTGATTGTGTTAGATAACCCTGTGAGGTGGAAGTAGTGTCAAGAGTTTCATCTAGGGAGATGTTGATGTCCCCTCCTATTATAAGGATCCCTTCGTAGAAATTTGATAGTTTGCGCAGTATTTTGTTGAGGGATTGGGACTGTTTCTTGTTGGGTAAATAGATATTTGCCAAAGTGATTTGGGCGTTCCCTATTTTCCCCTTCACGAAAATAAACCTGCCTGCATCATCTAACTGTTGATCCTGGTGCGTGAATTGCGTCTGACGGCTTACGAGTATGGCCACTCCCCTTGCCTTAGCTTCCGTGTAGTGGCTGAAATAGCCTCTCGGGTAGTCCCTGTTCTGAAGTCTAGGGGGGGCATCCTTACGAAAGTGTGTTTCCTGTACGTAAACAAAGTTCGCTTTATGTCTATGGAAGTCTGTTAGAGCTATTGATCTTTTCTCTGGGATATTCAGCCCTTTGGTATTTTGCGAGACGACAATTATGGTGGACATTGCTGCCGTGTAATTGTCGCTAAAGGGCTGGAAATATTCGCAGTGCTGAGATAGTTATGTATAGTAAGTTGTATAATGTAGGTGAGCTGGAGTCTCAGTCAGATTCTCCTAAGGGAAAATTCGGGTGTGCAGGTGAGGAAAAGTGGTGGCGTAGGTTACTTCATATAGGGACGCGTCCGAGGGGGGGACCAGAGGATCTCCCAGACCTGCCCTGGGCACCCGGTCGCGCAGCAGACCCAGTAGTCCAAGTAGAGGTCCAGTCCCAGTCTTAGAAGAATCCGTGAGTGGTTTAAGCTCTCGATTTGAGTCCCTCGTCAGGCACTACTTGAACCTTAATGCATATACAATACAACATAAAAATCAAAATGAAGGTACGTATCGATATCGACAGCAAGGTAATCGTTACAGCACAACAAAAGTATTTCCTTAACTCTCTATAACTGGAATATTGTCGATTTGTGGACATACATTAGAGAGGAGTATATTAATCCGAAGTATATGCCTACGTGGTTCATGTATTCTCTGTCTCAAGGAGTAATCACTGTACTGTGCAGTAATATTATGAAAGTTGTGTTGATGGTTACACCCAGAGGTGTGTGTGGTATGTTTCCCTTAAGGGGAATATAGTCCTGTCTCGTCACTGGAGATAGAACCGTAAGTAAATTGGGGTTGTGTGCTGCGAGAATGTACCTAGGACCCGGGACTTGTTGATCCTATTCATTTAATCTACCTTTAGGAGAGAAGGTCAGATGACCTATAGCTAAGAGCGTAAACGTTGTATGGGGGGGGGAAGAGCAGAACTAGGGAGATCGGTCTGCCAAGCCGAGTCTTGCTTGAGAAGAATGTTACAGCTACTCAAGAGTAGTCCTCTCGTGTTTGTTTTATTTATCATTCTTATTTATGCGTGTTTGTTACTTAGTTAACTATATACATTTCTTTTTTTAAATTTTTTTTTTAATGTATTTTAATACGAGAGTTACTCATTTCCGATTGTTATCTAATCTAGTCTCTAAATTTTGGGGCTATCCCTCGTGTCTAGTCAAGTTGGTTACTGTGGAAATGATGAGAGCTGACCCAGTTGTGTCAGAGGTGAGTAACCTTAACTACGAATGACAGGCCCCTGCTTATGACTCAAGGCTACTTCTAATGTCAGAGTATGTGGTAGCCGTAACTAAGATCCCTGACCAAGGACTCTGCCGGGGCCATCACTTAAATGCTAAACTTAACTAGATAATATTCGGTATAGTAAATAAACAAACATAAAAACACGGGTAAGAACAAACTGCGTGTGGTATGGGAGATGTGGACCCATGCTTTGTGTCTGCATTGTCTTTAAATATACGACCTGAGAGTGCGAGATGAGTCTCTCCCTTCATGGGGATGGTGATCGTTGTAGTTTTACAGTCAGCTCTGTATTTGTTAAGGAGAGTGTCTCAGGGTCAATGGTGAGTGTGCAGTTTGATAAGTCCCAAATGCTGACATGCACGGGGGTAGGAAGAGGTCAAAGGTGTAAAGCTGCGTAGCGTTAGACAAAAATCCCGGGTATGGTGGAAATGTTGCAACTTCTGTCACTTTATGTGTCAGGTAGCATGTAGGATATCATCTCGTAAGGCAGCTTTAGTTGTTAGGATTTGTTCTCGGTTGATTTTGGGTGTTGAGCTGTCGTTCCTGTCGGTGGTGAGGTGAGAGGAGCCTGTTCTCTACCCTCCTTGTCTTCGCCGGGGTGGTCCATTTCTGTCTTTGGGAAGGTTGAGTGCTGTCTTGGTTTGGTAACGGGTAGTTCCAGTCCATGATAGCTGTATCTGGCAAGTCCAGTGCTCTGAGGAAGGGAGGGACGTCTAAGGTTGAGGCAATTTGATGGATGTTTCCTTCGTTATTCACTATTAGGGTCGAACGGGAAGCCCCATCTATATCTGATATTTCTGTTACGTAGAAGCTCAGTGATTGGCTTAAGTGCCCTTCTTGCCTGTAAGGTATACCAGGAGAGGTCTGGATACATCTGAATTGGATTCCCGTGGAATAGGAGCGGTTGCGAGGTGTCCCTCAATGCTCTCAGCACCAGATCTTTGGTTGTAAAGTAGTGTAGCCTACAAATGACGTCTCTGGGGGAGTCTTGCGATAGCCCCCTAGGTCGAAGTGAGCGATGAGCCCTGTCTAGGAGCATTTGGCTGGTACCAGAGCCTCCTATTATAAGGGTAAAGAGCTCTGTTAAGATAGCTGTTAAATCCTCATTTTGGGCTTCTGGGATCCCCCTTATGCGCAGGTTATTTCTCCTCCCACGATTATCTAGGTCGTCTATATGTCTCTGGGTGGCGGACATAAATTGTATATGTGATTCTAAGGTTGAGGAAATATTGGAGATTTGGGCTTGCATTGCATCCTTCTCCTCCTCCAGGTCTGTGACCTTTAGGTTCATTTGTTGAATTTCGGAGCCCATTTCTGCCAATTTGGTATGGAGTGTGGCTTCTAATTTCCCAATCATAGTTTGGAGGTCAGATTTGGACGGAAGATTCCGCAGCATGTCTTTTATGTCTAAGTCCCCGCTATTATCTAGCGATTTTAACGAACATTCTGACATGTGGGGGCTTTGTGGCTGCATTTCCTCTACGGAATCAGCATCCGCCATCTTGGAGGTCGCGGCCGCGGCCTCCATCTCCCGATCGAGATTGTCTTTAAAGTATCGGGTGAGAGAGCCCGATTTAGGTATGGGGGTTTTCCCCTGTTGCCCCTGTACCTGGGTCTGTCTCTTGGGATTGCCCATTTCGCGTGTGTCTCTCCGATTGTAGCGGATCGTGCCCGGGTCCGGAGGAGCTGAATCAGAACGCGTCCATCAGGCTTCCCGGCTAGCCACGCCCACTAGTTCTTTCTTTTATCCAAAATGGTTTTAAGATTTGTTTAGGTTTTTTTATGTTGAAACAGAAGAACTTTTAAATAGTAGTATACTTGTGTACGGCAGAAAAAAATCAGTTTAGGTGAATTAATTTGGTTGAAAAAAATAAATAAATTTGGTCCTCCGTTTTGCATCGTCTGAACTTCAGCCATACAAGCAATTCAGGGAAAACTATTTGAACGTAACAAAAGGGAGTGAAAATGAGTCTATCACTGTACTGCACAATATATACATAATATTTATATGTATACATAATATGCAGTACAGTGATATTATTTTTGCACCTTTTTAATAAAGCTTATTTAAGTCATTATGTGTTGTTTTCCCATTCAAATGTGTTCCACGAGCAATCAGTAATAGTGATTTTTTTTTTTAAATTCTTTATTTTAGTTGTGCATAAGTGGTACAAATAGCCTTGCAATGCCACAACAGCGAGAGCAAGCTAACCAAGCAACACAGTGAAACAATTGTATGGCAATTTTTTAAATTAAATAGTATAAGATAAAACATGGGAAGTGTCTAACGATGGTTTAATCACAAGGGACTCTGAGGGTAAGAGATGGAAGAATTTAATACATTAAATAAAAGTGAGATAAAATATGATGAAATAACATTTGCATTGAAAATTACAAATAAAGTGGGTAAACCAAACATGCAACCTATGCTGAAAGGGGTGGTTAACAGTTGCCTGTCCGCATTCCTCCATGAAAAAGACAGTGCAAGTTCAGGGGGAGATGATGCAAAATGTCATGTGGGGCCTTCAGCCGATGCCTGCCATGGGCGAGGTGCAGCCCCTCACTATGGCACCATTCAGTGCCTTAGTACTACCTTTGTGGTATGTCAGGCCCTGAGCTTTTTTCTGGCTTGCCCTCTGAACTTGAGGCCTCCCAGGTGTCTTCATTTGTGGTCGGCAGCTGGGTGTAAGCCTGTGTGCTGTGTTCCCTCGGCACCACCATAGTGGCCTGTGCCTCTTGAGCTGGGCCACCCCAGGATCCGCAACAATGCATTGTTTCCTGGGACTTCAGAGTCTCTGTGCAGGCAATCAAGTCCATTTGGCGGGCTGGAGATACTAGTGTAGCAAGTCCTGACAGAATTCTTCCCTCCATTTTGAACCAGGAACTTACGGCTTCCGCCATGTTGGATGCATCTTGCCTAGGTGTCTCCGTAAACGTAGCAGTTGCAAGCCTTCTATGAAGTAAGGGGACCCTTGTGGTGGGAACTGGGATCACCCCCATTGTTTTATAGGGAGGGGCATAGGCGGGGCTTCAGCTTCATAATATCACGGGTCTGTGTGCGTCGGATTTGGAGATCGGTCAACCCTCCTCGTCAGAACACCTGCAATGACCTGCCTTGCTTGCAGTCAATGAGGATTGCTGCTTGGACAATCGCTGACCAGCAGCGGAGGCAGGCCCTAACCAGTCAGTTAACACAGTATGCCAAGGGAAATTAATTTGCTCAGGATGAACAGAAAAAAGTACTGGCGATTGGACTAATTCAGTCAGGACTTGCGGAACTCCTAGAAAACTTGTTCAGGTGCCCTTGCAGTCAGGCCCCGCCCACAATATTCATGATTTCGACCATTCAGTTACTTTGAGCATTCAGTTACGTATTTTAAGCATTTGGCCTGTCTGATCACTTGTGTATTTCTTTATTATTTCTTTAAATTTATTATTTATTGATTTGATTTAGGGCTACCCACCAACCATCAATCATCTCTTTTTTTGAAGCCACAGACGGAACTCAAAATCACAAAATCAGACAAAATGTTAATTGTCCGAGTCATTTGATTAGTGGTGTTCTCATTTTGTGCAGGTGTTACAGCACTTGGCAAAAATTTGTGCAAATTGCAACCCACTTGAAACCGAATGTACAAGTCTAGTTAGTAGCCATGAGCTTCACTAATCAGGATATTGAATACAGTAAGCATTTCATACTGAAAAAAAGCTGATGCACACAAACATGGAAATCTTTATAATGTTGACTGTCTCTTTAATCTTTAGTTGATAGTTACTTAGACCTCATTAAAATAATGTAACATAATAATGTAATAATGCCTATAGTATCAGACTTGAGTCAAAGAAAAACCCCCACTAGACCTACTCTTGATTTTTATTTTTAATATTCTTTCTTTGGGGGGCGTGGCTAGCTGGGAAACTGAGCAGACATGTTGGCGTGGAGCTCCAGCTAACCACATTAATTAATTCACTATAAAGCCATGATCTTACAGCCAAAAGCTTTATCAGAAGCGCTACACTTCACCCCTAACCCCCCCCAACACAGAGATGGGGCAAAAAACAGAAGAAAATTAATCACTGTGAAACCTCCAGATTGCCCGATATCAGGTAATCATTTGACAGGCCTAAGATGGCATCTACTAGGGCTAGGCGGCAGAGTTCCAGCGACTCAGAGACATCCCCAGATGAGGAGATACCCACAATCTTCAGGCCACTAGGGAGGTGTATCGGGGGATGAATTCCAATTCAGATGACTCCCCGTCCACCAAGGGAGACATAAAAAAAATTACTGCTAGATCTATGGGAGGTCTGGAAACAAGACCTGGATAGAGTGAGATCAGAAATTAATGACCTGAAGACGCGCATCGGGGCATTGGAAGACCGGGAGGGAGACAGAGAGTGTATACTTACGGAAACCTGCTCCCAGATGGAGTCCATGTCCCAACAAATCCTACGACTTATCCATACTGTGAATACAATAGAGGCACGGCACAAGAGGAACCTCTGCATCCACGGCGCTCCAGAAAACCTGGGCCCTGAGGCCTTACTAGAGTTCATCAATAAAGTAGTAACGGATATGGGAGCGAAGAAAGCTGGTGAAGCGATGCCATAGTAGTAGCATTCCATATCAGAAAAGCCCCAACTGCTTCTGTGGATGCACCCAGGGACATCATTGCTTTCACCCGGGACATCTCTGTAAACGTGGCCATCCTGACCCGTTCAAAAAACACACCTACCACCAATGTCGAGGGCTCCCAAATTAACATCTACAATGACCTGCCTTTTACGATCTTACTTAAAAGAAGAAAATTCATGCCGGTCACCAAGCAAGTGTGGGAACATGCAGTAGATACCGCTGGAGAGTGCTGGGCACCTTGGTGGTGTCACATGGAGCCACAGCGCACTCAATGTCATTGACTGACGACCCCGCAGATTTCCTGCACGCACTTGGGCTAACATAAACCTCATCTCCCCCACTAATGGACGACGCCTCCCAAGCCACAATTGATAACAACCGGGAGCAGGAGAGGCGCACTGAAAGGCAAGGATATCGCACTCACAAAACCCCCCATAGGACTGTTCATATACAGGACTGCCAGAAGCTCAAGTGCTAACTGTGCAATGTCAAGGTACCCGAGAGACCAAAGCCTAAAATGGACTCAGATATTTTTTTATTTTATTAATATATTTATTTATTTTATTTTTTTCCCTCTCCTTTGTTAGATTTCTAGTTACGCTCTTTGAATGGTTGGAGCTCTCATCACTTACTAAGATATTCAATATCAGTTCATTTTCCCCCCTACATAAGTGAGACAGGTCCCACATGACTGTGGTAGAGGCTAACAGGCTGAACATGCAACAAGAGGAGTGAGTGGGGAGATGCTGGTGAGTGTGCGAATGCATGGACAGAGACGAGATCAGAGGACAGATAGCTAGGCTTAGTGATACATGCATGACGTGACTTACTGGCACACTCAACTCAGTTTAGCTGGGCCCTCTCACAAGGACGGAACAAAAACAGTGATGTTGTCTAAAGCACATGCTAGGCTGTTTCATATATAAGACACAAAGGCAGCAGTTTACAGACTGAGGGCGAGAAAGCCGGATCGGAAATGTTGCGAATGAATGGAACTGAATGTATTGGTCCAGGTGTCTGAGGTGAGATGTCAGTCACAAGGTGGGGGACATGAGGGGAGGGAAGGGGAAGAGGGGAGAGGAAAAGATGAAAGAGACTGAAGTAGTATGTAGAGAAGGTGTAGATATGGGAGAGTGGGAGTGGGAATAAGGACGCACGGAGAACATAATCTCCTCAATGAACCTTAGCTTGAAATTTCCCCCTATATTTTTGATGTCTGATAATATTTTTTAATTAGTTTTTTTTCTTCTTACTTTTATATATATCCTATTATATAGATGAAATATGAGACCATCTATATTGCTTGAATCCATGGTTAAACTGAAGTTGATGACTTTTTTGTTATACTGCCACATCAAAAATAAAGAATTTAATAAAAATATATTCTTTCTTTGCAGCTGGAATCATAAGATCAGATTGAGTAACGAGTCACATTTTGCAGGGTATCTTGTTGGTAATTATCATCTCTTTTTCTGTGTCTTAGTTCAGACTCAACCTCCGACGAATCTCAGAGCAGAGGAGCAGATAAATAATGGCTACATGGTGCGATGGGATCCTCCAGTTCTTTTTTACAAAAATGTTGATTTGTCATACCAGCTGTGTTACTGGAAGCAGGTACATAAATATTGTATATATATATATATATATATATATATATATAATGGGCTTACATTTTGTAAGTAAGAAACACAAGGTAGGTTTCTAGGAGCACTAGCAGTATCCAGATATTATAGAGACACGTTATATGGATGAAAATAAAGACATATGGTAGCAGAATAAAGAACAAGACAAAGGGGAAGCACAGATAGTAGGGACAGGTTGTGCTAGTGGGACAAGGGTAAAGTGACCAACTTAGTTTTCTTTGTCTCTTGAAAGTAGTTGCCATTTAGAGATTAGTAGACTAGAAAACTAGAAGAAAGGACGAGAAAGTTCATTCTATAAAAATGAAACAGCCCCGGAGGAGTCTTGAAGATGAGAATTGAGTTTTGGGATATGAAGTGAGGACACATTTAGGACGTTCACCACGAAGAGAGACCGCAATGGATTTTATTTAATACGTTTATATTAATCATGAGTTGGTTTATACTAATTATGACGGGAATAATAAATGTGTGAATATGCAATAGAGAGTTAGTTGAATATTTTGTTTTAAAAGGGCTGACAATGTGAGCTCCAATTTTAAGAGTGAATTTAATTTTAGAATGAACCATTAATGTGTTTTGTGTCTCACGTCCTTATCTAATTATATGTTGCTTCTACGTAGGGAGATCCAGAATGTCCTGCTGAACTATTGGTCAATGTCTCTGGTAAATTCCCAGAGTACCACATCTTGAGTTCAGATCTCCAAGGCAGTACTGTGTACCTAGCCAGAGTACGCACAAGGACTGACATCAGCCAACCCTACAGAGGTCATTGGAGTAACTGGAGCAGGGAGACTTCTTGGAAGACAAAGAAAAGTGAGAACCATTGACTTGATTAATATTTAATCTGATATAATTTACCTCATTACTTTACCATTATACCATACTTCTCCATTTACTTTTATTTGTTAATTTATACTTCTGTTCATTTTAAATGTTTTCTCTCAAACTTAGCCAGATTTATTTTCATTTAACTTTGTTTTATTGAACTAGACTGTGATGAGAACATATAACCAGTAATGCATTTCTTTGGGGAGCACGCTGTGTTCTTATTTGCTTTGAGTGTGAAATGTTCTTATTACAGTTTTATGATTGTTTTTTTTTCTTTTCAGCACCTGTGATTATTTGTGGTGCATGTAACTTAGATTCCTGTTATCAGTAGAAGACTGTACAGCTTATATTTTGCCATAGACGGAATAACCCTCTAGGTCTTCATAACATTGGTTCCCGAACATTTTAGACCAACACACATTAAAATAAGAGAAAACATGTTCACAGCACACTTACTGGTTTTTAACCTGTACCAGGTGTTTATAAAAGTCACATTTTATTGTAGCCTTACTAGAGAAGTACACAACATGTATAGTACATGCATATAGCTGTAATGGCTTTCATTAATGTGGTTAGTTTTAGTAATTGCCAGATAACAGTCACAATTTTATTGCCAGTATATATTGTCGATATATTAGTCAAAGAAGCTCACGTAAGGGATGAATTCAATATGTTACAGCCCTACAGTCAGTTTATTCATGGCACAATTTGGGGTGGCTTATGGCACACCAGTGTCCTATAATGCACCGATTGAATTAAAACAAAACACTGTTCATAGCATTTTGTCTCCAAAATGAGTCTGCATTAAGATTTCTCCTGTTATCCATACCACCATCTTGTGACTACCACAATAGTCTTCTCAAAAATGCTATCTGTGAAAATTTGGGATTGGAAGTCTAGTAATTGAGCTTTTTATAGACATAATTTTTTTTGAGAAAAATAAAAAGTGAGTCAAAAGTCATAATTTTCAAGTGCAAAAGGGGCAGATGGGATCAAACAATTTTGACGCAATCTCCTTCTCACTATTTGTTAATTACATTGACCTTTTCTGTACTCTATGGTATGTTAATATATATATAATATTTATTTTCTGTTCTTTTCCAGCTGTCGATAACACGATTCTTTATATAGTTGCAATAGTTTGTGTAATAGTGCTGATATCCTGCGTCTTTGTAGGACATAAATACATCAAGAGGTGAGTTCATATTGATACAAAATGGAGCCTGATCCTATGTATTTAATGTAGCCTTATTAACATTAAAGGTCTTCGTCTTCTTCATAATATCACACTTGCAAAAAAAAAAAAAATTTTTTTTAAATGCCATATCAAATTATGTATCTGATTTAAACATTAATCAGTATGACCAAACAATAAGGGAATATATTTATAATCATAAAACGGAATAACAAATTCTAAAATACATGCAAAAACCTTTAAAAACAACACCTGTTCATTTGTCAATGTTTTTAGGATCAGTTCGCAAGTGATTGTAGGCACAGAATTTCTCCTAATCCTTAACCGTTCCCATAAAGTATGAACAGAACAATCAACTAATATTTTATACAAAACTGCATAATGGATTAAACCACCAATATACTACATTCAAGTTTTGTAACTTGTATTTTGACAGATTCTTGAAGCATTGGGAAGAATCCTTTCCAAATCCCAGCAAGAGCAAACTTCTCAGCATGTACCCTCTGGTGAGTTACGCAACATTACCAATGGAGGTTACATAGATGGTGTGAAATGGTGCAGAATGCAATTTAAAGAATAGGGGAAATAAGTGATAATCAGCTATGATGAGTAAGTGAATAGATTGGGTAATGAACAGAAAATAGGCAGGAAAAAAATAAAATGCATATTTTGGTGACAATGAAAAAGGAAAACATATAAATGAATGGCAGACAGAATAAAGAAGTGAATGATAGGAAATGTAAGCAGAACATGTGATTGATAGAAATAGCTCAATAATTTCAGTAAAAATAAGTCACATAGTAAAGGGTAATGCTAAACAGAGGACAGAAAGGAAGATACTGTGTTTTAATACATTTCTCTGTTTGTAAAGCGATGTGTGAATCCGAGTGTATCCATATTCATAAAAAATTATAATGCAGAGGATGAGGAGCCCTCCATGTTTCTTCATGAAAGGTAATAATCTTTATAAAGCTTGAGTTAGTGGAACAAAAGATATCTGAGGATGGCAACCACAGATTACATGTTCGATAAGAAAAGACACAGAGTAATATGTTGTTATCTCAATCTTGAGTTATAAGGCTACTGTATAAATACCGGTACATGTTTCAAATAAACCAGTGCGTTTGACTTAAAGAAATACTCCAAACACCTCATCCTCTACAGCAGTGGTTCCCGAACTTCTTAGGTTCAAGCCTCCCTTAAAATTTCAATATTTTTCCAAGGCGCCCAAGGCAAAACATTGTCTAGGTTGTATATATGAACAACGCTGCGGCATATACTGGGCCCCTCTTCGGCAGAAATGCTTGCCTTTCAGAACCTAATCTTGGGAGGGGCACTGGTAGATTATTTAAAGAAACAATCCAGGCATTACTTTGTAGTGGTTATGGTGCCAGTAGTGCTGTAGTGCCCTCCCAGGGTAAGTAGTGAAACTGTTTAAGAACAGTTTGACAACTTACCTAGGATCTGCCGGGATAAGGGCTGTAGTGTTTGTGTGTCTGTGAGAGGTGCAATATGTGTGTGTATGAGTTGTGGAGTGTGTGTGTGTGTGTGTGTGTGAGGGGTGCAGTGTGCATGGCAGATGCAGTGTGTGTGTGTAAGAATTGCAGTGTGTGCATGTAAGGGGTACAGTGTGTGTACAGGGGTGCATTGAGTTTGTGAAGGATGTAGTGTGTTTGTGTGTGTGTGTGGGGTGCAGTGTGTGTAAAGGATATAGTGTGTGTGTGTGAGCGGTTCAGTGGGTGTATATGTGGGGTAGTTTGTGCGTGAGGGGTACAGTGTGTATGTGTGTAAGGGGTACAGGTTGTGTGAGGGGCACAGTGTGTGGGGGGGCAGTGTGTGTGAGGGGTACAGTGTGTGTGATTGGTACAGTTTGTGTGTATGGAGGGGCAGTGTGTTTGTATGGGGGTGTAGAGTGTGTGTATGGGGGTAGTGTGTGTGTATGGGGAGCAGTGTGTGTGTATGGGGCAGTTATTGTGGTCTGTGAGAGTAGGAAGGGGGACAGTACTAATCTCTGGTGGGAAAGCCCTGGTGGTCCAAGTGGTGAGAGTGAATTCTAGCAGCTCCTGATGCGTGCAAGCTCCGAGCTTGCAAGAGTAGAACCCGTGAAGCTGCAGGTTAGAAGTCTCCAGGGTCCTCTCTTCCTCCCCTGCCTGCTGCCAGCATTACAGTGCTAGCGGGCCGATGAGGGAGATCTCTGATCTGGTCCTGCAGAGCCGGCAGTGGAGAGTGAGGCATGGACGGTTCCCGGTGCTATGATCATTTGATTATAGCACTGGGAAATATTTTACGGCGCCCCTGTGTGTCTGCACACAGTTTGGGTACCGCTGCTCTACAGTGTGCTGTAGTGGAGCTGCAATACTACGATCCAAAATCTCTGCTGGGATTCTCCCACAGTTATGGTGCCATTGTGCCCCGGTGCCCTACCAATGTAAGTAATCAAACTATTTTCTATTGGTCTCCCTGGTGCAACTCCCCACCTCTCTCCAACAGAAGTAAGAGCTGGAAGATCCTGTTAGGAGCTTCCGTTAGTTCTCCTGATCTAAGCTCTACTAAGTGGGGCCATCTGTAGTGGTCATGGTGCTTGGAGCATTTCTTTATTACCATAATGTTGCAGTAAATGTCAATGTTTATATGTTTAGCAGGCCTATTGCAGCATGGATCCTTTGATCCAAATCTCCTTTTCAGATTGCTAATTCTTTTCCTGCAATATATTTACATAGGCCGCTACTGAATCCTCTGGTTAAACACTTACTAGAGTTCTTGTGACAAAGGAATTGAAATAGTGCAGTTTTTTAACACTATAGTCACTATAGTCACCAAAACAATTTTAACTTAATGAAGCAGTTTTGGTGTATAGATCGCTCCTGCAATCTCACTACTCAGTTCTCTGCCAGTTCTCTGTAAATCAGTTTGTTTATACAGCCCTAGTCACATCTCCCTACATGTGACTTGTACACCCTTTCTAAACACTTCATGTAAAGTGAAATCAAATGCTTACTAATGTTTAAACTTTCTTTATTGCACAGTCTGTTTGATTTAAAAGTTCTTATCTCGAGCACTGTTAATAGCTAGACCTTTCAGGAGTATGTGATTAAAGTTTAATTTATAGAGCAAGAGATAAAAACTTCTAAAGTAAGTTAACACCTTGTTGAAAATTAAACCATTTTTTTCATTCAGGTGAGTTACAGCCATGATAAATGTGGCTAGGGCTACATAAACATAAACAAAAGTGATTTAACTCCTAAATGGCAGTGAGTGAATTGAGCAATGAGACTGCAAGGACATGATCTATACACCAAAACTGCTTTATTAAGCTAAAGTTGTTTTGGGGACTATAGTGTTCCATTAATACCAAAATGTCTTACCATTTTGTATACTATTTACCTTCTCTGTGTAACACACATTCTCATGAAATGTGTCAACTGAATCAGAGCTTAAACATCTCCATGTGTATCTCTCTACCCTTCTACCCATCTAATGCCTGAAGTGGAATAAACAAGTTGAACAAATATGTGAAAATGAAAAAGTTTTTACCTAAACTCAACTGGTTCCACCTTTGTCAATGTCCTTGTATGGGTGTAAGTGTAGATGAAAGAAGCATTTTGTAGCAAATCATTTTTTAGCATTTCTTTTTTAAAAGAAAAACATTTATAACCCTTGTAACACAGACATTGTTAATGTCTTATTTTATTCTGAATAAATATAGCATAGACAGGTATTGTTTTGTGTTTCAGTGTATGTGATAAAGATCTCGTTGTGAGCATGTTTGAAATTGTTTGTATTTATGTATATAAGATAAGCTTCTCATTGAATACTTATTCAAACTTTATAGCAAGCTTGTTTTCAAGCAATGAATAATCATGTGAATATTATTCTGTTCAGATGATTTGTCTGTAGTTTTTTCCATTCATTATTTTACATGACAATGTTAATTACTAATTCTTCCTTAAACTGTAGACAAAAAAATATTTTTTGTACCCTCTCACAGAATTCACCCCTACCTCCTAAACCCAGTATCTTTAACACTTATCGCAAGTTACATTCTAAACACTGTTTTAGTTCGGGTTTCGTAAAATAAATAGATTCCTTATTTTACTGTTAACCAAAATGTATGTTGGTGTCTTTCATTGTTCCTCCTACTTCTCCTTGGCAGGCATGTTAATCTATTACAGATTGAAAAAGTAAATGAAGAAATAGTTAAACCTGTTGAAGAAGCTCCACCAATGCCAAATGACTGCCCTCTTGGACCTTATGCATTAATCCCAACAACAGAAATGTGTAATCACTCAAATGAGATACCATCTGGACCCACCGGGCCAAACATTGATAACAATGAACAACTTCCCAGTTCTGCAATACAGCAATCCAAGAGTGACTATAGTGAATCTAGCTTTATGTTTGCTCATGCCCATGCTATGTTTAACATGGGAGGTAGTAAGATAAAGAACATGGAGTATTTTTTACCTGAGCAGGTTACTCCATTAAGAAAGTCTACCCAACCCAAAGAGCACAGGGACTATGTGTTAGGTATGGGAGCACAGGCAACTCCTCAAATGCCACCACCACAGAGTGGGATGAAGTGTGGTGTTAAGTGTAAATGTTATTCATCTTTACCAATTCCTTCTGAAGTCCAGTTTCCCACAGAAGGACCCTTCATGGTGATAAACCCTGATGGAACAGGGCCTGTCATGCTAAGGCAGGTAGGAGATTATTGTTTCTTCCCAGGGCTACGCGGAAGCCAAGACAAATTAGAAATGAAGAAGGCACCATCCACAGAGCAGACAGAGCAGCATGTCCTGCCAGACCCTGGCCTAACAGCTCTTCAGGCAATCAAGGTTATGCACAGTGGTTATTTTGCCCTACCTCAAACCTAAAGGTTTTAATTGGCCCCTCCAGTGAGGTGCTACAGTCAGACAAAGTTGTACCTGTTTTAGTAAGAGGCCACATAGTTATTGTTTTCACATCTAGATTGTGCTTTCTGTCTATAAGTGTTATTTACATTGATATGCATGAATGCTGTTTAATTTACACTGATGACCCTTTTCATCTTTTTATACACATTAATGAATGACATTAAACTACTAGAAACTTGAAACTTAGTGAAATGCTATTCAAGTTGTAATGCTTTCTAACGTTTAACCGTTTATTAGATTACTTTATTTTGCATCAATTGATGTTTACTGCAAAATTGTATTTATTGTGTTCCTTATTTTTGCGTGTTTTCCTTTTTTGGGGATATAAATATAAAGGGACGGATTCCAGTGACGGTAGGTATACACTAGTGTCACAATGATAATTATATACATTTGTGGTTAGTCTTTCTTACAATGACACAGTTAAATGAAGACTCTGGGCACAGAGGTCCTGACTGCTGCCGCACATTCCTTAAGGGGTTAAATTGTGTTTAGTGATTTACATCAGCGTTCCTTCAGTGTAGCAAGCAGAGACAAATTGAAATAGCTTTGAAAGTTTTTAGGGCTATGCCGCAACATAATGAATAATCTTATAGTCGGGAGTAGGTTTTACCATAATAAATAATCAATGTGAACAGGATAGCTTTCGCCTACCTTACACAGCTACAGGCTATCAATATAATAATAGGGACTGTACGTAGACTCTCAGAGACAGGTCACAGGGTTTAGTTAATGGTTTTGAGAGTTACCATTAAATCAATATTAACCTGTAGAAAACAAGCATGGAAAAAGTTAAGGTATGTGCAGAAAAGAGATTATTTGGAGTGCATTAAGTAATGAGTCTATGGGAGGAAAATCCTACTTGATGCAACTTACTGTAAACAAATTAGGCCGTTTGGTCTAAAATGAACTGAATAGGAACTAAATAAGGAATTTGTCATCAAGGTTGAAATGTTAGCAGAGTTGCCACTTCAGTCATGATTTCCCAGGCAGTTGTGAGACCAATGGATTTTCCCTGGCAGCATTAGATTTCTAATGGGAAACACTATTCACATACATCTAACTTAACTTACTGCTTGACTGTAACATATGGTTTAAAACGCAACAAAACAAGCTTTACAATACGAGATACACATTTTAGCAACGTGTGCATATAATGTGTCAAATTTAAAGGATCACTATAGGGTCATGAGCACAAACATGTATTCCTGACCCTATAGTGTTAACACCACCATTTAGCCCCCCGGGGCCCCTCATGCCTCCATAAATATAGCAAAATCTTACTGTATTAAAGCCTGAAGCTGTAGATCTTCATGCTGTTTGCCTAAAAAAACCAAGCAGTCTGCTGACATCATCAGAAGTGGTAGCCTGATCCAATTACAATGCTTCCCCATAGGATTGGCTGAGACTGACAAGGAGGCAGATCAGGGGCAGAGCCAGCATGATTCAAACACAGCCCTGGCCAATCAGCATCTCCTCATAGAGCTGAATTGAATCAATGAATCTCTGAGGAAAGTTCAGTGTCTGCATGCAGAGGGAGGAGATACTGAATGTTTGGATGCATTTTAGGCAGCCATGACCCAGGAAGGACCTCTAACAGCCATCTGAGGAGTGGCCAGTGAGGTTATCACCAGGCTGTAATGTAAACACTGCATTTTCTCTGAAAAGGCAGTGTTTACAGCAAAAAGCCTGAAGGGAATGATTCTACTCACCAGAACAAATTCAATAAGCTGTAGTTTTTCTGGTGACTATAGTGTCCCTATAAATGTATAAAATCATTTCCATTCTGTCATAGATCTAGTAATTACTTACAAATGTACTTATTAAAAATAAAACTGTCACTTCTCTGGAGTTTACCAAAATATACCTCCATGGGTGTCCGCAGGAAGGGACAGGGCTTTGCCTGGATTTTTCAGCTTGTTCTGCTAATTTTCGTGTGAGATTTAAATAAACTGCAATACCGGTGCCGGCCAGTAGGTGTCGCTGTATATGGTGAGAGACAGGGATAGGAAGCTGCATCTATCCCTGCTTCTCTCTGCTGATTGAAACCGCAGGGGAGCAACACAGAGTGCAGCCTGCAACTGCAGAGACAGCCTACAGATCAGGTGAGGGATGGGGTGGGGGGGTTTAAAATAGCCTATAGATTAGGGGAGTGGGGCATGGGGGGGGGGCAGCCTATATATTAGGCAAGTGAGGCATGGGGCAGCCTAAAGATTAGGCAAGTGAGGCATGGGGGGCAGTTTATAGATTAGGCAAGTGAGGCATGGGGAGCAGCTTATAGATTAGGCAAGTGAGGCATGGGGAGCAGTTTATAGATTAGGCAAGTGAGGCATGGGGAGCAGTTTATAGATTAGGCAAGTGAGGCATGGCTGGCAGTTTATAGATTAGGCAAGTGAGGCATGGGGGGCAGTTTATAGATTAGGCAAGTGAGGCAATGGGGGGCAGTTTATAGATGAGGGAAGTGAGACATGGGGGGGCAGTTTATAGATGAGGGAAGTGAGGCATTGGGGTGGGGTGGGGCAACCTAAATGAGTCAGCGAGGAGCAGGAAGGGTCTGCAAGGAGCAGGGGCAGCAAGGAGCAGGATGGGTATGCAAGGAGCAGGGGCAGGAAAGGTCTGCAAGGAGCAGAAAGGGACAGAAGGAGCACAAAGGTAAAGGAGCAGAAAGAATCAGAAGGAGCACAAAGGTAAAGTAGAAGAAGAAGCAGAAAGGGACAGCAAGGAGCACAAAGCTAAAGTAGGAGAAGGAGCAGAAAGGGTCTGCAAGGAGCAGAAAGGAATCAGAATGAAAAAGGAGCAGAAGTACGCAAAAAATGCAGGAAGGAGCAGAAAGGTAAAGGAGCAGAAGGAGCCAAATATAGAAGACCGTGTCAGAAGAAAAATAAGACTGTCAAATGAAGGCGAAGAAAAGGAGATTGGAGCAGGAAGGACAAATGAAGTGAACCCTCCACTTTATTCTGGACACCACATCATAAGGCTTTGGTACCTGGGCCTGGCAGGGAAACTCTGGACCTTCTCATCTCCCCAGGTAAAAAAAAAAATCAGTGTTAATCAGGGGTCAAGTCCTGGGGAAAAAAGTGTGGGAACTCACCCAAGATTCCTGCCGCCCCCCCTTTAAAAAAAAAAAAATTACACTCCTATGCATATAGTGCAGTGCAGGGTGTGTATAATGAATGTAGTGTGTTTGTAGTGAATGCAGAGTGTGTATAATGAATGCAGTGTGTTTTTAGTGAGTGCAGAGTGTGTACACTGAATGCAGTGTATGTAGTGTGTTTGTAGTGAATGCAGAGTGTGTATAGTGAATGTAGTGTGTAGTGAGTGCAGAATGTGCATAATAAATGCAGAGGGTGTATAGTGAATGCAGAGGGTGTATAGTGAATGTAGTGTGTTTGTAGTGAGTGAAGAGTGTGTATAATGAATGCAGTGTGTGCGTGTGCGCGCTGGATGACGCGTGTGTGAGTGCTGGATGATGTGTGTGTGAGTGCTGGATGATGTGTGTGTGTGCTGGATGATGGATGATGTGTGTGTGTGTGCTGGATGATGTGTGTGTGTGTGTGCTGGATGATGTGTGTGTGTGTGTGCTGGATTATGGGTGTGTGTGTGCTGGATGATGTGTGTGGTGCTGGATGATGTGTGTGTGTGTGTGCTGGATGATGTGTGTGTGGTGCTGGATTGATGTGTGTGTGTGTGTGCTGGATGATGTGTGTGTGTGCTGGATGATTGTGTGTGTGTGCTGGATGATGTGTGTGTGGTGCTGGTGATGTGTGTGTGTGTGTGTGTGTGTGGATGAGTGTGTGTGTGTGTGTGTGTGTGTGCTGGATTATGTGTGTGTGTGGTGCTGGATGATGTGTGTGGATGATGTGTGAGTGCTGGATGATGGATGTGTGAGTGAGTGCTGGATGATGGATGTGTGAGTGAGTGCTGGATGATGTGTGTGTGAGTGAGTGCTGGATGATGTGTGTGTGAGTGAGTGCTGGATGATGTGTGTGTGAGTGAGTGCTGGATGATGGGTGTGTGTGTGAGTGCTGATGATGTATGTGTGTGTGAGTGCTGGATGATGTGTGTGTGTGTGTTTGCTGGATGATGGGTGTGTGAGTGAGTGCTGGATGATGTGTGTGTGAGTGCTGGATGATGTGTGAGTGAGTGCTGGATGATGGGTGTGTGAGTGCTGGATGATGTGTGTGTGTGTGCTGGATGATGGGTGTGTGTGTGATGGATGATGTGTGTGTGAGTGATGGATGATGGGTGTGTGTGTGCTGGATGATGTGTGTGTGTGTGCTGGATGATGGGTGTGTGTGTGTGTGCTGGATGATGGGTGTTTGTGTGAGTGCTGGATGATGTGTGTGTGAGTGTGCTGGATGATGGGTGTTTGTGTGAGTGCTGGATGATGTGTGTGTGAGTGCTGGATGATGTGTGTGTGAGTGCTGGATGATGGGTGTGTGTGTGTGCTGGATGATGTGTGAGTGAGTGCTGGATGATGGGTGTGTGAGTGCTGGATGATGTGTGGGGGGGGGGAGCATTTTTTTTACATTATGTGTTTAATATTTATTTTATTCCCCCCTCCCTGCTTCTTACCTTGTCAGGGAGGGGGCCAGCCGCTCGCTGCACAGAGGGGCCATCACACGCTGTGTTCCCTCTCCAGCTCTAACTCTCGCGAGACTCGCCTGTGCGGAGCGTTGCCATGGTAACAGCCGCGGGTCTCGCGAGAGTTATAGCTGGAGAGGGAACACAGCGTGTGCTGGCCCCTCTGTGCAGGGAGCAGGGCCGGTCCTGCAGGACAGGTAACGGGAACGGCGTTCCTGCTTTGGAAAAAGAGCAGGAACGCCGTTCCCATGCGTTCCTGCAGGACTCGAGCCCTGGTGTTAATGTGTTCACTTTTATTTACTGAGTGTCAGGAAGCACAGAGTGCCGCTGGGTAGGGGTGTTGCTGATTGGCTAGAGCGGTCAGCCGGCACTCTAAGCCAATCAGTAGCTCCCCATTCATAAAAAAGTAAAAAACTTTTATGAACCGGGAACTAGTCAACTCTAGCAAATCAGCGGCACCCATACCGGATGTCAATCTGTACTTCAGATGCCGAATACCACTGAGCGACCTGGAGCTGGAGGAAGCCTTTGGGGTTGAACTATTTGAGAGCGGTTTAACCCCTTAAAGGAAAGCACCCAGGGGCTTCCTGGCATCACAGCATTTTCATTTAGATGAAGTTGTTATGGTGACCAGAATGTTCCTTTAATTTGCTTAAAGGAACACTATAGTGTCAGGAATACAAACATGTATTCCTGACACCATAGTTGTGAAAAC